ATGCTCACCTATGTGACAAGCTCAGCCCCGGCCCGTTTGGTTGGATTGGCCAGGAGTAGCGGACAGTTTAGAGGAAAATAGCCAAGAAAAGCCACAAACTGTACCAGCTTCCAGGCCAGAATTGTGACTTCACTCATAAGCCCCTCTTTCAGAGGCTCGCTTTGCGAGTTGCCTATGGCCCTCTGTCGAGGGGATTTGTTAAGCTAGAGAGGACTGCGATCAATGGCTTGGAACTATTGGCGTCACCACAATACAGTCATCTGTTTCCCCCCATGTTCGGTCCTTATTAAGTTTGACACCACTCTGAAATCCTAGGCCCTGAAAGAAGTGTTTTACTAGTGTTTGATAGAATTATGACTTAAGCATAAGATGTGGTTCAAAACATAATGCTCTTGATAATCATGGTTTCCTACAGATGTTCATATGGGTCAATTATGCACATTTGGTGTAATTTTTGCTTTTGTCTTTTACTAAGTTGCATTGTCTTTTTCATACTGAGAGTCTACATCAGGTTTGATACATGGAGATGAAAGAGACCGGAAAAAACAGCAGTCTTGGATGGAAGTGTCTTGAGGTCTGACAAACTCTTGGTCCCTTGGATGCTTTTTGGGCCAATTGTTTTGAACTTGGTGACTAATCTTTTTTTAGATTTGTGATTTGTTGGATAAATATTTCACTGTGGAATTCTGTTCATGATAGCAGAATTGATTAGCAAAACATTTGCTTGAGGTATACCTCACTCACAATATACGCACAGCCCAATCATCTTGTCGAGACAATCCTCACACGTATTTTGTTCAGGTCTGTTTCCATTGGAACAGATGAAGATGTTCAAAATACCAGATACTAGAAACCTTTATACTATAAAGATCAGATACTAAGACACTGTAGAGACAAGATTATTGTCAACAATCTCAAGTATTTTCTTTCCCCGGACACCAGAGGTGAAGTGTAGGGTGCCTTATTTTTTGATAGAAAAATCTGCAAGATCGAAGGGGTTCATCCTGCGCGTTCTACTCAGGGTATTTGAGGAGGATGGCTATCTACCACACATCCATCGTCGTTGCCAATGCCGTAGGATCACAAACAGAGAGCTGGGGGTGCACGAAAAAGTCAAGTGTAGAATGAGTGGCATTTAATCTTATTTGATCAGTGCACAGCTGCATCCAGCCAGATTCTCAGATTGTTTGAAACAGCGTTAACATAATTCCATTCTAATGTTTTTTTAGCACGACAGGTATATCTCACCATGAAGATTTTAAACCCGATGGATTTCAATGAGCCAAAGAAGTCATTCACTCGAGTTGATAAGTTCTTACATCCAGCCTCAACTGTGAGTCATCAAAATTTATTTGGCCGATTGATTTGATTTTGCATGGAGTTATTCTAATCACAAACAATGATATATTGTGCTCGAGTTGGAAATGTAGCTGACTACTATCACATGAGGGGAAACAAACAAAAAAGAGTAAAAATTTAGGAAGCCGGGAGAGACTAGAGAGAGGACAAAACTGCGATTGAGAGGGGATACTCAGCTTGGAAAAGATGATGTGTGGAAGAGGAAGTAAGTGTAAAGGGGGAACAGGGACAGAGGAAAGACTGGAGGATTCAACAGTGAATGCACTTAATAAGCTGGCGGACAATTGATATTGTCAAAATGGGAGTTGGGACAGCAGTGGAGGACAGAAGATCCTTTGATGTCCGGGCAATATAATTTATTCCGTCCGTCGCAATTACAATTGGTGAATGTCCCACTGCCCTTAGATTTTCTTCCATAGTTGTCCGTTGGCCAGTAGGTTTTGGCAACCGGATCGAATTTTCCAAATGGAGATTGCTCGCTGCTTCCACAGACCTAGAATTTTTAAAATTGGAAAAATAAACATTCTTTCGTACGTTAGAAAAACCCACAATTGATTTATGTTTTGTAGATCATCATTTCTTACTCACAGGTACTATCTTTGGTCCTTCCTCTGATGAAGGGCCGAATTTTTGTCCCTGTGAAAGCCCGGTCAAGAATGCCACGAAAATCCAAGCTGAGTTGAACAACATTGCTGCTATCTGTAAGAGATGAGCAATTGTTAGTCAGGATTTAAAACCTATGTTTTCCAGTTGAGCTGGGTTCATGGTGCCGCAACTCTCCCTTCAAAGCAGGGCTGTTCTGCCGAAGGCTTGGGACGAAGGCCCCCATCCTTTTGGACAACTAATTTCGGCCAAAGGCCGCTGGCAGCGAAGCTGCCAGGAGCCATGGGACCACTGACCAGGATGAGGTTGCTACCCATCCAGTCATTCCATTCAAATCAAGCACAAGACAATTAATGTTCAGGCTTTTAAGCCAAACTTTTTGCAATTGATTTCATCATGAGAGGTTGCCACTCATCTGAATTCATCATGCAATTGCAAGAAGTTAATGTTTGTTACTGTTAGGCTGCCATGCCAGGTTAGTCATCGATGCTGATTTGTTCCATCAAATCAGTTCAAGCAATGGGAGGAAATGTCATCAAGTGGAACTGAAGAGCTCATTTTATACCTGTTGAAGTCTACCTAGGCAGCGTTCCTGGTGTGTCGCAACCAGTCTGCTAATTCCTGTCCTATTGCCCAGCCCACCACCAGGCAGGATAACCAACGTCGAGCTGTATCCTATGCTCATCTCCCTCAAATGCAACTGATCATCTGCATCAACATGGCAACATGGAGGTCCTACCTCATCAATTCAAGACACCCGAGCAATGTCATTGCTTATTTGGTCCTACATTATAGATCTCTCCCATTTAAGATCAGCAAATCAACATAATTTGATCTACCCATCCCACCGATGGCACAGGATGACACACATCCCCTGATAAGCTCATCTCAGTCAATGAGAACACATGACCATCTCTATTTTCCTCCACAACCTCGATCTGGACTTGCTCACAACACTCAATGTTGTCAACCTTGACATTCTCAGGCAGTACCAGCAGACCAACAATAGGTAATCCATGGCAAGTAGCACCACTCTTTTGAACCTCATGTTATCTTTTGGGAAGAAATCTCCTTGCAAGATAACCACACTGCACGGGTAGCATGTTCTGATGTTTTCATTATGTGTACAAAAATCTTTGACTACAGAACAACAACAAAAAAACTTCACCTTGGGAGAATTTCCAATTCCATAAATGGCTATTGTCAACAGGAAACAGCAGTAATCAGCAAGAACATTCTGCTGTTGTGTCATTAAAAAATTGTACCCTATTTCAGGATCAATCAGACCAAGATGTGTCCAAGAAGCTTAGTGTCATGGTGTACACACAATGTTGGATGTTGTAGCTGGCTAAGAGATTTCTTCTTTGGGTGAATATTATAGTTCTCCAATCAACTTGACTCTGTTGAATGGTGATGTCAATAAGATCAACAAGTTGCTCATCACACCCATCCCCAGTGAATTTTATGAACCACTGGCCTGAGCATGAACCAAGAAGATGTAGAAGATAGTGATGAAGCAATTTCTGAGTAGTTATTCAGCACATTTACCATTCTTGGATTACCCAATGTGATCCACAGGTTGAAACAAGGAATATATGTTAGTCTCCTGTCATATAACATCTTGAATTGGGTTTTTCCAACAGGACAAGGTCACCAATTCAAGAGTTTGAACCTCAAGTATTTTTAGTCAATTTGTGCAGCAGAACCAAAGCCATCATCCATGAACACACCACTTCTATGGGGTAACCTCTTTGTGATAGTAGTTTCCAATTGCGCTAGCATTTTCTGTCACTATAAGCCAAGTGCAAAATCAGTCATTAGATAAAGTTGCTGTTTATCTTCCAAATCCAGTTTCTGGGCAGAGTCAAATTTATGTGGCATTATCACGAGTCACAAGCATTGGAGGAATATCTTTTCATGGGTTGGTTGCCAAAGTAGTTAAACAACCCTCACCATCAAATATTATATTTTTAATGTAAAAATCAATGCCAACAGACAAACACATGAGCATTGAATTTTTCAACTCATCAAAAGTCCAACTAATCCTCCTGGCATTCCATCTACCAACACAGGACTTCACATGCCAAAATCAAATGCATGTATTACAAATTGTATGGCGGCAATACATTGAATCATCAGTCAAGTATTGATTTTTATTTTAAATCTCAGTGTGTTTACGAAACAAAAGAAAGAATTGTAACAGCAAAATTGTAAGTGCTTCTATTTCACTTTTCAAAATAACCATATTCTTAAGTTACCCGCGGCGCCCCCGCCGCGGTTTTTCACTAGTACTATAACGATAACTCAGTCAAGTGTTGGGATGCAAGTACTAACATTTAAAACCTTTGTTTCCCAGTTGACCTGGGTTCCTGGGTCCGCAACGTTCCCTGCGAAGCAGGGCAGTTCTGCCGAAGGCTTGGGCCGAAGGCCCCCACCCCTTTGTGACATGTATTTTCGGCCGAAGGCCGTTCGCTGCCAGTAGCCATGCGACTAGGATGAGCTTGCTACTCATCCAGTCATTCCATATAATTTAGCACAAGAGTATTATTCAGGATTTTAAGCCTATAAGCTTTTCGCAATTGACTTCATCATCAGAGGTTGCCACTCTGCGAATTCATCACGCCATTTCAAGAATTTAATGTATGTTAGGCTGCCATGCCAGTAAATAGGCTAGGTCGCCGATGCGGATTTGTGCCGTCAAATCAGTAGCGATGGGAGGGAATGCCATAGTGGCTTCTTTTTATACCTGTTGAAGTCCACTAGGCAGTGTTCCAGTCTGCTCGCCAGGATTGCCCAGCCCACCAGGCAGGATAACCAACGTCGCGCGGTATCCTATGCTCATCTCGCTCCAATGCTACTGATCATCCGCATCAACATGGCAACACGGAGGTCCTACCTCATCGATTCAGGAAACCCAAGCAATGTCATTGCTCATTCAGTCCAACATTCAATATATTTCTCGAATTCATGATCAGTGAATCAACACCATTTGATCTACCCATCCCACCGCTGGCGCAGGATGACACAAATCCCCTGATCAACTCATCTCAGTCAATGACAACACATGGCGGTCCCTATCTTCCTCCACAACCTCAATCTGGACTTGCTCGCAAGACTTGATGTTGTCAACCTTGACACTCTCAGGCAGTTACAGCAGACCAACAAGAGGTAATTCATGACAAGTAGCATCACTCATTTGAATCTCAATTTTTCATTTGGGAAGAATTCTCCTTGCAAGATAAGCTCACTGCACAGGTAGCATGTTGTGATGTTTTCATTATGTGTACAAAAATCTTTGACTACAGAACAACAACAAAAAAAACATCACCTTGGGAGAATTCCCAATTTTATCAATGGCTATTGTCAACAGGCAACAGCAGTAATCAGCAAGAATTTTCTGCTGCAGTGTCATTAAAAAAGATGAATGTCGACAGACAAACACATGAGTACGCACTCAATTTTTCAACTCATCCAAAGTCCAACTAATGCTCAAGGCATCCCATCTATCAATACAGAATTATGCACATGCCAAAATCAAATGCATGTATCACAAATCTCATGACAATACTTTGAATCAGCAGTGAGGTATTTCCCTTTTTTTCATTCTCTAAAATGCAAAGGAAGAATTGTAACAGCACTGTAAGTGCTTCTATATCATTTTTCAAAGTAACCATATTCTTAAGTTACCCGCGGCGCCCACGCCGCGGTTTTTTCACTAGTAGATCTAGGAGGTTGGCTTGAGTCCGTCAAAGGGCGACAATTGATAGGAAACGGAAGTTTGTCTGGTACGGGTTGGTTATGGTGTTTTTTTTGTCAGTTGCGGGGATGATGGATGGATGGAGAGGAATAGAATTCTCAAATACTACCTGGTTTTATAAGCGTGTGCTAGGCCAAACTAACACAAGGAAGAATCCTTGTCTTCATCGTGCTCCAAAGATTCAAAGAAGAGAACACTGCGCGTCGAGAACAGCGGAAATCTATGCAATACTTCCCGCCAAAAACGGCGGCTCTAACATAGCAGCTGACTACTCTAAGTCCAGAGCTCACATGGTAATATTCCCGCCATCTTGCTGCAATGAGAAATCATCTCAGACTTACGGTTTCTAATCAGAATCATCCTATTAGGTACTTGCATGTTGAGAAACCTGCTCGTGTTGGGCCAACTGTCGAGACCATTTAACCTTTGTCATTCAACAATGAGATCAGACTTCATTCGCTTTGAGATAATAGGAAAAAATTGATACAGCTTTGCAACGGTTCCCAAGGGCGGTATATCCACTTACCCAAGATTAGACCCTTCAACGACAAAAACTATCACCATTGGCCCATCCGATGGAGATCCCAAAAATCCGAATACTTGTTGCATTTTTTGGGGGTATGGATAGATCATAGATTTTTATGTTGCGATCCGAGATTCCCAATTCAAGTCATGAGCAGCATTTTTGCTCATCAAAACCATCAGTGTTGGGAAAAACAAAAGAGAAAAGTCTGACTTTGAGGAGCTGAAGCCGAATGAAAATTATAATCGGCATGAACTACAGAGGAAAGTAAACCTCTCTCCAAAATCAATCCTGATAAAATAGATATCAGGCTAGGTAAGTGACTGACGGCGAGAACTTAGTTGATGACAGCAATCCGCCAGGATAAAATGATGAAGTGCTCCCTATTGATTCATGTTTAATTCAGGCTTGAGAGGTAAATTAATTCAGTGCTACTCTGTTTTTTTTTTCTTTTTTTTTTTGCTCTGCAGGGTAAACTAACCAATGGATAAATCTCAAGCAAGTCATTCAACACATTTGATACTTTTCTTATCAACAATTGTTCTTAATCACTGAATCATCAAGATTTAGTTGAAATATTTTAAAAGACTTGATATTGTTTGCATAGTTATTTCAACCCCCAAAAAAAGGTTGATTAGAGTTCAACTTGGAATGTACAACATATCCAACTACCATCACATGAGGGGAAACAAACAAAAAAATGGGCTTTTTAAGAAAATGGAGGAGAGAGGATGAAACAATCAGGGAGAAGAGCTGGAGAGCAGAGAAATGATTGGAGGATTCAAGAGCAGTTCAAGAATTCAACAATCTCAATTGTGTTTCATGAAGTGGGAATTGGGACAACAATGGAGGTCAGAAGGTTGTTTGATGCCTGGGCAAAGCAATTTATTTTTGGCATCACGTGAACATTTTTGGTAGGTCTGACCGCCGTCAGATTTGGCTCCATACACGTCTGTTGGCCAGAAGGTCAGGGCCACCGGATCGAATTTTCCAAATGGAATTGATTCGTCTTGGGCGCAAACCTGGATGATTTATAAGATTCCGGCAAAAATTTTTAGACATTTATCGATCTTGTGTGTCAGTAAAACAGACAGATGATTTTAGTGCTTTCGTAGGAGTTGAAGGATTTATGGATCATCATTTCGTACTCACGGGGGTTATTCTTGGTCCCTCCTCTGATCCAGGGCCGAATTTTTGTCCAGCCTGTGAAAGACCGGTTAAGAATACCGTGAAGATCAAGGCCGAGTTGAAAAGCATTGCGGATATCTGCAAGAGACATGAATCAATTCTAAGCCAAGAGCCTACAACTGTACCTCGATCAGGTGTTGTGCTTACCTAGATCAGGGAAGTTTAACTGTCTTCTTAACGCGAAGTAGTTCAAAGGGTAACACTCGAATGGAAACGCTTTTGATAGTGGGGATGGATGGGAGAGACAAAAAGGAACAAGACCACCTGGTTTTATAAGCGCATGCCAGCACAAGGGAGGCTTCTCGTGTTCGTCTTGTCTCACAGGTTCTAGAAGAGAACGTTGTGGAGTTGCAGCCAGAGCTCCCATCACAATCTTGCACATAGCTTGATGTATTTATGTAATCCTCAATGATCAGAGTTGGGGTTTCTATTCAGAATCATCCTTTGAGGAACCTTCGACAACGAGATCATACTTCATTTGCTTGATAACAAAAAAAATCAGATGGAGCTTCACTACTTATTGCTTCCAGATTCGCCCACTGCCGCATACGTAGCTGCTTTTTTTTTTTCTTATAGGGAAATTTGGCCTATGGCATTGCACACTATGAATTGCCAAACCATCAAGCCAGGGGGAGGAATACGTAGGAATAACTTTTTCAGAGCATCTCCAACGCGGGTGGTAAATCGGGGTTGTAAGCCCCGTTTACCACCCCAATTCCCAAAACACCCCACCACTGCTGGTGGTATGCAGGGTGGTAAGCTACATTTTCAGTCCAAAAAATGTACTGAGGTGGTAGATCTACCACCCCGGTACCTCCCTTGATACCGCTGTGGGATCTGTGATATCCACCCTCCATCTCGTGAAACCCCCATAATCGCAACCGGTTCACACACAAATGCCCCTCACTCAACCTCGCTCATTCAATCTCAGTGCAGGTTTGCCACTTTGCGGTGGCGCACCTGCCTGATTTTCAGGTGGCAACTCTGGAACGCGGGTGGTAAATCCTTTGTTTACCACTCCGGCTTTACCACCCGCGTTGGAGATGCTCTCAGGCAGGGAAGTGTTTCCAAGGGGAGCTGGAAACAAAACAATTCTTCTTGGTCCCCCCCACATTTTCATACATCTACCTTCCCCAGTAAGATTCACATACATATATTTGAAAGGAGTATGATCCAGTCCAAAAAGCCCATTCATCCCACTTTTCATGCCTACCATTTTAGCTTCTAGGCCTAAATTAAATTCATCCATTCACATTGCCCACCAATATGCCAGGTTTCCACTGCTAGGGTCCTCTCAAAAACACACAACATTTCAAACCAAATTTGCTTACACCAAATACATATTGTGTTTGCAACTAACCTTGGACAGATCTGAAAAAATAAAATTTTGTAATTGGAAAAATCTGATTCTGCCAAAACTTTCTGCCCACCTTTTTTGCCCAATTTCCTTGATTCAAATTCTCAAATTTCAGAATATATCTTTTGATTCAATGTTTCTGACCAGATCCAGATCCACCTCATCATCCAGTTTCATTTCTCTCTGACGTCATTCTTCACTTTCTTTCCTCTAATCAATCCCATCTCATCAACTTCAGCAATGCAGTCAAACTCTAATCAGGATATGATCAGCATGTATCTTCGTTCATCACACCACAGCCAAGGTGGTTCTCACAACGAAAACACTCCAGATTCTCCTCAAGCTACAGTTTCCCAACCCTCCCCACATTCCAACTCACAATCCTCTCCAGCTCCTGTGACCCCCTCTGAAGAGTTTGACTCTCCCCTTCCTTGCTTTTCTAGATTACCAAGCCCAGCTCCCATTGAGGTTAGTTTTTCAGATCTTATTATCAACTCTTCCATTTCTCAATTGCTGATGATCCACCTGGTTACAATTTGTTTAGGTTTATCCTTTCAAATGTTATGTTAGTTATGAATTCTACTTGGAGAAACGCGACCGGGGTCAGAAGTTAAAGTGGAAATTAGCCAAGTCTCCCGCCTCCAACAAGTTGTGTATCGAAATCAATCCTAATCACATAGGCCTCGATGAATTCAAGAAAGCCGTTGGATCAGCCTGTAGTATTGCTCTTGCTGGAGTTGACATAACGATCGCAAAGGCCGGAAAGAAAGGGGTCCCGAAAATCCGTTGGGACGCTTTCATCCCAAATGACCGAAGTTGTCCGAAATCCCGTGCCATTCATCTTGAGAATCCGACTGATTATCGCCGCTGGGTTGAGACGATATCGAAAAAGAAGAAAACTACACGAGAGGGGGCAATTCACCTTGTTCAAGATAATCCAAAGAAAAAAGAGGCGAATGCCATCGATCAGAATCTTGTTGACAAGCTGAACCACCGACTCCGAGCTGCTTCTCAGAACGAAGGCACCAGTACCGAAGCTAGGACTGACACCAACAACGATCCAAATCCCGACGAGTCCGACAATGAGGGGTCCGTCATAGAGGATCAAGAGCTGTACATGTCTAAGATTTATGCCAAGTATGGCTTAAATCACAAATTTGATCGAATCCACCCAACCTTTCCCCATCCAACCAATCACTCCAAGTACATTTTGTTGTCAGCCGGTAATGTGCGTATATGGGCAGATGCCTTGGTAAGTTGTTTCTTTTATTTGGTTCATTAAAATCAACTTATTTGTACTTACTTTGGGTTTTACTTCTAGGTTGGAAAAAAGCGGGGCGTGTCGCTTGAATCCCCTCCATCTGATCTCAATTATCTTACGGCTAAAAAGAGGGAAGCAGCGCCTGAGGCTGGTGTACCATCTGGAACAGCCGAAATGATGACAACTGCAGTGGGAATCTTGCTTGATAGGGCAGTTGGTGAAAGGAACCAAAATCGTGCGGAGGATGGACAACTAGGAATACCTTTAGCTGAAAATATAGAACAATACCTTTTGTTCATTGGATGTAACCACTCCGAGGTTGATGTGGTTGCCGATCTCTTGAGGACCAACGGATTCGTCTCCTACTTAACGTTTGGCTCTCCAAACTTGGACAATGCTCCTTTGATTCAAATGGGACTCTCCTTAGGTCTTGTTCTTCGACTTAGGGATAATGTCCATAACTTTTCCTTACATCTCAGAGCCCAAGAGGAATAGCCAGATTACTCCCGATTACTATTTTTTTTCAGCTCCAATTGATCTTAACAATCTCGTCATTGTTGTATTCTTCTTCATTTTATCAGCTCCTTCAAACACTTCAATCAATCGAAAACAGACTGTATCAGCTCCTCCCTCAGCACCACTAGATTCTCAGCTCCAATCGATCTCAATCGATCTCAATCAACTCTCCATTCTCAATCAGCTCAACAGACCTCTTTTTTTCACTAGATTCTCATCTCCAGCCAATCTCAATCGATCTCAATCTACCTTCCTATCTCAATTGATCTCAATTTCTTTTTACACTGTAGCTGCTCCTTGTACCACTAGATGCTCAACTTCAAATGCTCAACTTCAAACAAATCTCAATCATATCGTATCTATCGTATCAAATCTCTTGTTTCAAATCTCTTCCTATATTGTACTGCTTCATCGGAGCAGTGATCATCTTATTTTTTCCCATTGCTCATTTTGTTTCACTGGATCAGATCATCGCTTTTTCATCGATTGTATCAGGTCAACTGGAAATAGACAGTAAATTGATTGTTATCTTTTAGCTTGCTGGACAGTTGAACCACCCAATCCAAGCAGTCAGTCAGCTACTTGGTAAATTTGCTCTTCTTACAAGCGAGCAAGACAACAACTGATATCCAACAAGGTGACTATGTTGCCCAAGACCGATGTACCCATCAAGCATAACCCAAGCGCACCCGAGGATGGTCAGATGAAAAGTAATTAGGTTTCTTCCGTTTGTAAGTTGATGATCAGGAAGTCCAAGCGATGATAATGATATGAACGCTGAACAGAGAAGGGTGTACGCTATTCATAATAGGGAAAGCAGAGGGACCGGCTGACCAAAGATCAAGATAAAACGAGGGGTTTGAAATGGATCACTCGAGGCAGACTGAAGACGACCAACAATCGATGAGTTGACGGTTTCGCCCACGTGAGTTTTCCTCCACCCATCCAATAGTTGCATCTCTGAGAGCAGTTCCGGCGATGGCTCAGCCAGCTCTACAGTCAGGATGTAGGAATGATAGGTCTGGTGATCGGAAGATGAAGTCATTCGTGGAACTTGCTGCAAGGTGCAACGGTAAGTACGTCTATCGATCGTACCGATCTGGGTGAAAAGCTCGGCCTCTCGCGCCGAGCGATTCGCACGCAGAATCTGGTACCTCGGCTGACCGAATAACCCAAGAGAATTGACTTGATAAATCACGGCAAAGCCTGGAGCCTGGCCGCGAGTCGACAACGAATCTCAGGATACAATCTGAAGCTCTCAAAGGCCTTGACGCACATCTGATAGGTCTCAGTGAGATAAGGGTTGGAGGTAACAATGTAAGGCAACGATTGGAATTGCGTAAGGCAACGATTGGAATTGCGTATCTGACAAGCCAAACAAATTGCAAGTTGGACCCTGTCCCGAGTCTACAATCAAGAGCATGTATTAAACTTAGTCAAAAGAGAGAAACCGTGATGAATTTATTGTTAAACATGATATGGGAGATATTGAGAAAAGAAACTGTAGCTTAGAAAATTGTCATAAGGCAAGGGGAAGATTATTCAAAGATTAGTCGTCATGAACTACTGCAGAGTTGTAGGCTTCCTGGGTACAAGAGTAGCCTGCATGTCGGTAAAGTTGCTCGCAAAGCTCTGGAGTGATTGTCATCGCAGCTACACGCGAGATTTCCTCTATCTCATCAATTGCTCGTACCAGGGCTTGGGTTCGGCGAAGGTGAGACTTGAAAACTGAAAAACACATTTTGATTGGATTCAACTCTGGACAGTATGGTGGAAGATATTTGATTCTCACTCCAGCCTCTGAGCAGAGTTGTGGAATACGACCACCCTTGTGTATCCGTGCATTATCGAGGACAAGAATGCTATTTTCAGCTGGGTAACGGTTCATGCGAGGGAGCTTTCATGCTGGAGATTAGTCATTTTGGAAGCATGGGTAAACAATTAAGAAAATTTTGGAAACTTACAAGATGCCATTTGAGGAAATGCTCAAAGTCTTGTCGATCGACACAATCATCGAGGATTGTTAAGGCTATCATGCCATAGATTGATATTGCCGGTATCAAGCTGAATCGTTCAGGATTGTTATCGTGTTGCAACTTCAAGGCCCTCCTGCCTTTTTCAGATCTGGAATATCTACGTATAAGGTCTTTGCTACACACCGCACTTTCATCTGTGAAGACTAGAAACTCCGCTGGAATCGGTTCCATTAGTTCGATGAATTCATACTTCCGGACAAGATTTTTTCGAATATTGTAGACTTCAGCCTTCTTGAGAGTCATTCCAAGTCTCTTAGTGAGACAGTAATGTATTGCCTCCATGCTGACTAAGGTCCCAGAATTATCGTAGACCTGCTCTCGGATTTCGTCCAGAAACAAGCCAGGATCAATGTTGACAAGATCGGTCATGAACTCTTTGTCCTCCTGAGTGAGAAGATCAGGCCGGCCTTGGGTTTCGTAATCATCGGGGTTGAGAATGACAGTTCGGGTCTCTTCATACAGGGCACGCCAACGGTTGAAAGATTGTCGGGATATTTGCTCTCCCAAAGCGATCCGAATCGAGTCAAATGACTTTGCTTGGATTAGCATACGCACTGCTGCGACCTTGGTACCTGGCTCATACGTTCTATAAACCATTGCGGCTTGGGTTCAGTAGCACATTTGATCAGCATACTCTGTACATCTATTGAAAAATTATTGAGCTTACATAAAGTTGTGAGATGTTGGTAGTTGGTCAACTCTGATAGCAATGGACTAGCGCTGTTTGGGTAACAGCAATGGCTATGACGGATGAATTGGGTCGGTGGTGGGGATTGGTTGTGATGGATAGGCTTGGCTAGTTGGTTTGGCAGGATTGAATTCTTGGTGATTTTCGGGATGGATGATGATGGTGGTGATGAGTCAATGGATGAACTGATGATGAGTGGAATTGGCCGGTTGATTTTGGGATGATTAATGCCAATCTGACATTGAAAAGTAAAAATTCAAGAAACAGGACAATTGGGCAAAAATGCTGGGCAGAAAGTCATGTCCAAAAAAGGATTTTTCCAATTACAAAATTTTATTTTTTCAGATCTGTCCAAGGTTAGTTGCAAACACAATATGTTCAAAAATGCGTTTGTATATTGATAGACTTAATTATTAAACATATGTGTGTGCAAAAACAGGGAAGGTTATAGAGAATAAGAGTACATCAAAAATAAACATGTTCTTCTTATGAACACACACACACAATCTTGAATCAAACCAAGAGAAAAAAAAAAACAGGAAGGAGAGGAGAGGAGAATGAGAAGACCACAAACATACGAGAGAGAAAGACAACAAATTCAAACAAAGGAAGAAGCAGATCATACCAACACAAGTCGCCGTGTTTATTTTTTTATGTACCCGTTTACACACTGTCCATACACACACAACACACATGAAGGTGGACTGTATCTAACAAAATACCCATGTTTGTTTTTTTTTTTTGAATCAAAAGAAGGCGGTTGTAGAAAAGAACAACAAACAACGATGAAGATGAGGATGATCACAGTTTTTTTTTTTTTTAAAAAAAAAATGGAAAAGATAAGGATGGCAAGTATATAAAAAAAAAGAAGAGACGAATGAGTCCGTTTCCTATGTATATATTTATTTCTATTTTCACAATAAATACAGTGAGTGAGTGAGAAAGAACAGGAGGTTGAAGTTTTACTCGAGGCTAGGAGGGGGGAACGATTTCCTGAGCAAGCTGAGTTTTTTCAGCGACGGGGGAGGAGTGATTGAGATCGAGAGTATGATGACCGGGCTCGACGAGGGGAGTAGTAGTAGTTGTTTCGGGGAGGAGGAGGGGGCTAGGGATGTTGAGCTCGGATGCGTCCTGGAAGAGAGCCGGACTGTCGCCACCGGGGTGCTGGTCGACGGGCGTGAGGACGGAGTCGTTCTGGACGGACGAGGAGGGGCCGATGCCTGTGTAGAAGCCCGTGCCGGTCGTCCGGATCGAGCCGCCGGTCCGGGTCGACTTGACGTTCGACCAGCGCGACGAAAGCGACTCGATCGATTCCCGTCTCGAGGGGGCCAATGCTCGCACCGAAGCATCTTCGTCCGATGGGAAACTGGTTGGGTGGAGTTAATGGAAACTATCAGGATTGAAGAAGAAGAAGAAGAAAATAAAAAAAGAGGAAAGGGAGACTGACTTTTGTTGATGGTGTAAGGAGGGGCTGAAGCCGGATGAGGCGAGGGTGAGTATACTAGCGTTATCGGCGAGTGCAGCCGGATGGGGGTTTTGAGATGGATGAGGGAGACTGTGCCTGGGCACATTGATGATAGAGAAGTGATTCTGAGGAGAGATGGGTGGTGAGGAGTGTAGGGTGAGGGAGGGTGTGGTAGGTTGAATGGGTTGATTGATGATTGAGGAGGAGGCAGATTGGACACGTTGATGGTTGATGATCGCAGCTCTGATCGGATTGCGCAAGTTATTCTGAGCGGGTTGGGCCATGTTTGAGTGGTTGGTGATGTTATTGTGGTGGTTGTGGTTTGGGTTGTGGTTGTGGTGGTTGTGGTGGTAGTGGTGGGTGGTGATGGGTGATGGATGAGGTTGGGCGATCCGATTGGCTGGTCCGTTTTCGAGTGAGATGACGGTGGTTGGTTTGGTTGAGGCGAGAGATGAGTTTCCGAAGGTGCTCTTGCAGTCGTCTAGGATTGGTTCGGATGAGCTGTTGGAGATCGTTGAGGATCTCTTGGTGGGTCGATAGGAGTGCCTAGATTGGGTGGGTGAGTTGAGTGCTGGTTGTTGTTGTTGATGTTGGTGGGTGGGTGTTTCGGATGGACTGGGTAGGAATGAGTTGGCCTTTGATGAGGGGGTGATTGGTCTGATGGATGCGTTTGGGTCTGCGCCATCCTCGGGGTCAGCTTCGGAGTGATGATGGTTCTCCTGGTTGGTTGATGCTGCTGATGAGGATGAGTTTGAGTGCCTGTCGATGATCGTTGGTAGTGGTAGGAGTGGCTGTAGTGAGATTGAGTCTAGTTTGATCTTCTGAGTATCCTGAGGATGATGAGAGAGTGATCGTTGTTTGGTAGTGTTTGATTCGATTTCAGTTTGTCTATTGTTGTTTGAGTTGTTGTTGTTGCTGTTGTTGAGGTTGAGGTTGGGTAGTGAGCTCTTTCGTTTTGAGTGGTTGGTTGGGTTGATTGTGAACTTTGATAGGAATCTGGTGAGTCTTGAGTGATGATGGTTGTTGTTGTTGTTGTTCTTGTGTTGTTGTTGTTGTTCGTTTGTGAGTTGTTCTTCTGTCATCTTTTGGAGTGGTTGGTTGGTTGGTTGTTGGTTGTTGTTGTTTGGTTTTTTTTGGTCAACAGGTTTTTTACACAAGTTCAATAGCCAGCACCCCCGAACCCCCCGGGGGGACTGACCCTATTGAAACCCATCCGCTTGACCGTCCGAGCAGAACCACAGCTTGAGTACGATGGCCTCATTCCCCTCACTCCGGCAGATCTTCGCCGGATTCAGATCACCCGAACAGGAAGCAGACCTATCAAGAACCGCATTCACCAGATTCCTACTCTACATCCTCTCAGTCACCTCTCTCAGTCTACTGGCCAGCAAGGCAGTCCAGAAATCAAACCACTAAAACAAACTCAAAAGTCAGTACAACATCATTCATCAATCCTACCACTACCACTACCAGTCCATGATGATCTTCTCCTCCAAAAAAAAATCATCGAGAGAGAAGTCAACAAAATGGATGTTGAACACACACACACTCCCCCAACCTAAGTAGAGATGATTACTCCGATCGAATCCAGATCTCCAAAAAAAAACACAGAAACCATCATCAGATATTCAACCGGTTCTCATCCGCTCTTGAAGAGTTTCTCGATGATTATGGTTTTTTTTTTTTTTTTTTTTTTTGGATTGATACTTAATTAGGCGTTCGATCGCATCTCCATCTATTTAGGTTGTCGGAGGTGGTGATGAAAGGAAAAAAGGCCAGATCTGAGACTTACATAGATATTCGCAAATTTGGGATGTGGAATAGTCTTTTTTTGGGAAGAAGACTAACATGTGTTTTTTTTCTTTTTTCTTTTTTTCTTCCAGCTTGTAGAATCATCGAAACCTCGACGCTACTTGATAACATACTCGGCTTGACATGCGCCTCCATTCCGATCCTCACAATGGCTCCCCCGGACCACGATCACTGAAACCCAGGTTAATCTCTTCCACCTTGATCAAATCTTCAACATCTTTATAGAAAATATGACTACATATATTGATGTAAATCAACACCTAAACAAAGATTGTAAAAACAACGACCACCAATAATCTCATGCTTATACAACTCATCCCACAATTCATTTTGGGCCACTTAATGCACATTATATGAAAAATTAGATTAGGGCCAACTCGAAATAAATATGATTAGACATATTTAACTCAATTTTGCTGAGCTGAGAATGGGCGGAGAAAACACGAGTTCTCCCAGAGACAAGGAGGAGAGTTTGATAGACAAAAATATGTATGAGCGAGCTTATCTGGGACCGGCGCTTGTCTCTTCGTCCAGACATCACTCCATCCACAGAGTCATATTATAATACGCTTGCAGTATCAATCGATACTGGGTTGATTTTGGTAACCAAAATGGTTGAAATATATGTACAGAGAGAGGGAGACGAGACTACGTACGATCGATGGGAGAGCGTTTGAGGAGGATGTGAGTGAGTTGCTGTAGGAAATATCAAGCAGAGTCAGCGGGCCATCGCCTTAGCATCTGCTGCTGCTGCTGCTGCTTCGATGAAGTAATATTTATGTATTTTAATATACGATTCTCTCGGTGTTTGAGCAGCTGAAGAAGATATGGTTCATATCGTCCGCCTGGACACCGATGACTTGACTTGCAAAGTCGGCCAGTTCAATTTGATCGGGAAAAAGATATCTGGGCTGAATAGCTCAGCAACACTAGTCCTTGTCTCACCAGCTCCTCAAAGCTGTCTTCCCTCATCCACCTCCATCCATCCAGCCAACCAACAACTTAGACCGAACATCAACAATAATCTCCTCGTCTTTTTTTTTCTTTTTTGCTCTAGTAAAGCATATCCATAGTAAAACAAAAAACAAAGAAAGAAAGAAAGTGTTTATATAAAAAGATGGCTCCTCGTAAAGCGAACAAGAATGTTGAAAAAAAATTGACTGAAACAGTACTCTTACCGAATGATGAGCGGATGCTGGAAGGATCGCCGATTCCGTGGAGCCATCTGTTTGAGCTAGCACGCTTCTACCAATCATTCAGTGCGGAGGAGCAGGCGAAGATCAAGCTATCGAGTTGGGTGGAGGCGGCGAAGAAGGTGGCCAACCCGGCCGAGCTTCCGGAGCAACTGTTCGCAGGCTCGAAGAGGAGTGGGAAGATCGACCGACTGGCCAGGATCGCCGGGCCATTGAAGGAACTCTTCAAGCGAGCCCAGCCGAAGAAGACGCCGGAGGAGGAGGAGGAGCACACCCTAGCAGACATCCAGAAGCTCATCGGCTGCTCAATCAACTTGGATCTCTCCAAGCGAACCGATAACAGTCCTCTGGCCTTCATCCCCAGACTCAACCCTCCAGCCTTCTGCAAACCGAACCAACTCAATCGGTCCTATGGCGCACATCGCTTCATCCATCTCAAACTCTCCGATCAACTCAGCTCTCGCCTCAGACCTCGCGCTTCCAATCGAACCGCCCTCCAGAAATCATTCAGGGAGTTCATCCATGCGCCCATCAGAATCGGAAATAGGCTGTTCTACTTCTTTCTCAGGAAGGAGGTCAATCATTATACATTCTCAATCAAATCCCTGTCCTTCTTGTTGACTTCTTTTTTTTCCCCTCTTATTCTGGTTTGAATATTATTTAGAATTGTCTGTGGTTCGTCGCCTCAGAAGAACCAGGTTGGGAATCGACCAAGGTTTTCATCAACGAGCTCTTAGATCTCAAGATCAATAAGGACATGACGGTGGCCAAATGGGTAAGAGCCGCCCGCTTTGTTGGTGTGTCCATACATAAAAAAAATTAATAGAGCCATCTTAATTCTTTCTACTTCCAGGCGGCACGCACCTCTCTCCTTCTATCTGCTACCCAATCATCCATTGATATCGACCCTGAAGATATCAGGAGGTCAGACAGTTAATCCTCCATGGATCATTCTTCAAACTGACTTGGCGATGCTGATGAGAGATACCCTTGGTAATCTTGATAGGGTTCCGGACTTGTATTCTGATAGCTTGGTGATCTCAAAAGACTTGCTCAGCTCGGTTGCTGACACGCTTGGCTTAAGCTATCTTCCATGTTGAGTGTACCTCCGATTAATTGGGTTTCCCTTTGCAATTGATATCAAACCGAGTATCAAGTTGAGATTTTCCACCACCATCTGTGTACATAGCTTGTATCGAAGGCTCGATCAGAAACCAAGCGTTTGTGTGGAGACTTGGTCCACCCAGCAAGGACGAGAAGATCCAACTGTGGGAGGACCAGCTCGGCAAGGCCTCCAAACATGTGTTCATCAAGTTCAGAGCCCGGCCCTACGAGTTCCACCAAAAGAGGTTTGTCCTCCAAGAGGAATCTTTCACCATCTTGCTTGATCAGTGCTTGTCCATGGGCCCTCGCCCGCCTGGGAAGTCTGAAATCATGACCGATGGCGCTGGAATCATCAGTCGGGCTGCCGCTACCCGGGTTTGTGAGTCACTGGGAAGAAAGTATGATACTTTGCCGTGTAAGTCCAATATATCCTTTTACTTACTTAATAGTTACTTCAAGCTCTCAATCTGAACTCACTTGCCTCTTTTCTTTTTTTTTATAGCTGCATATCAGGCTCGAATAGGTATCTTAGCATCAATCTTTCACCTTCTCATTCCATTTCTTGAATGTTTCAAACGAGATTTGACCTGATTTCACTTCATTCCCCCTTTCGAAGGTTTTTCTAAAGGTAAGCGGAGAAACAAAACTTAGATTCCGTATAAGACTTGATCCTGACAAAGCCATCATTTTGAATTATTTAGGTCTTTGGGTAGTCCCGCCAGAATATTCTGCGCACAATATTACTCCCTGGATCGAAATCCGAGACAGTCAATGGAAAGCTGAGCCTATTGAAGGCTATACGTTCCATTTCAACCTATGTCGAATCAGTCGTTCAGTTACCAGCAGCTCATTAGGAAAGCAATTACTACCAGTAAGTTTTTCTTAATTTTCTTTTTTTCTGGAAAATGTTCCTTTTTTTTTCGTTTCTGAAACTCCTGTTGCATTTTTGCATCAAGGTTCTATCCGCTCGTGGGGTGCAAAACAAGACGGTCTGTTCAGCCTTAGAGGAACACATCACCTCGACGATCAGCGATCTGAACTCGGCCGACCCGCTCAGATTGGCAGAGGTGCTGAGCCGCTCCGGAGGACTCAAACAAACCAGAAGGGCCATCCTCGACCGGATCTCGAACGTCCAACACAATCCGACTGCCTACAGAACCTATGGAAACGACCCCGTTGCCCCGAATATCGATCCGGAATATGGCGAAAGTTGGGCGTTCACTACCGATGGGCTTCATGCTATGTCGCTTGTTCCCTTCCATGCTGAGGAACAAGTCATCAGTATGTTGGCCGCTGGTTTCGAACCTAGAAATCGTTACATCGTCACTAAGCTGCGGAAAATTAAGGAGGATAAAATTAGCAATGCGGTAAGTTATGACGGATTCTGGATTTAACTTATGTTATACTTCATACTGATCGGATTTGAATTACATAGATCAAATTCAGAGTGCCAATTGCACAAAGTACCTACCTGTATGTGATGCCAGACCCGTACGTCTCACTTGAAATGACCTCCACTTTTGGGTCTCAATCTTAAGTTGTTGCTGATTGATTGATACATCTAACATAGGACCGGGACATTAAAAGAGGATGAAGCGTTTCTTCAATTCTCTTCCTTTGAGTAAGAACTTCTTTGCTCAGAATCCAAATTAGGTTTTAAAAAGACCATTTTACAAATTGGGGTTGATCAACTTACGATTGATTGGAATTCTGAAGAGATTATCAGACCGGGATCAAGCTCTCAAACCTAGTTTGTCCGGCCATAGTTTCGCGATCTCCTTGTGTAGCCGTACGCATCCAACCTATCCCTGATTGGTTTTCAAGAGAAACTTATTTTCTGATGTTTTACATAATATGGCGGATTCCAATTTTTTTTTTTTTAAAAAAAACAGTCAATTGATGCCCGGAAGATCAACTTAGTGGACAATGACATACTGAGGGATGTTTACTATGACGTTCTGGTTTGTTCTATCCAAGGGAAAACATCTCTCCTGAGTTTGTTGTCTGGTGGTACGCACAATTGAACCGTAATTTGGTTTAAACTCAACTTGCCAGTTTTGACTGATGTAAAGCTCACTGAATTTATTTTTTTCAGGTGATTATGATGGTGAGTAGAATAATGTGAATTGATTCAAATAAAGCATCATACAAACTGAGAGTTGAATAAAAAAACACAGGTGATCAGGTCATGGTGATCTGGGATCCGGTGCTTGTCCAGCAGTTCCACAATGTGGACTTGGATAAACATCCTCGGATAGTTACTGATGAGCTCTTTGAACCTGTTCAGCTTGGAACGGTTGAGGAATGTCTTCTGGAAGCTTATGAAAATAATCCTGAAGAGTTTGTCAAGACGGCTCAATTGATCCAAGCTGCTGGTTTATTCACACCAAATGATGCTGGTTCTTACTCCATCAAACACACCATGTAAGCTCTACAACTGATTCTGAATTTGTTGAAGTCATTTTATTTGGATTCTGATGTTTTTTTTTTTTTTTTTTTAAAAAAAACAGGGCCGAATACCTTTTCGGCCTTGATAATCCATTAACCCAAAAGTTGGGTGAGGTTTATGTGAAGTGTCTTGATGCACCCAAAGCAGGTACTGCAATTTGTTTTTATTTGTTCAATCATTCAAGTGAACAAAATTTCTCCAATTCACTAAATGTTATTTTTCTAAAAAAAAAGGAACCCAACTGAAAGCTGAGGCAGATCTTCTCCTCAAGAAAGAGTATGAAACTGCATTGGACAAGGTGACTTTCCCAAACGGAAAGAAAATCATCCACTTTCCAGTCAAGAGCTATCCAATCCCTAAGTATCTTTCTGGGGATCCTAAATTTTCTTTCAATGGCGCAGCAAGAGCCATTCGATTTGAATTTAGTGGAAAACCACACATCCTTGGCAAGTTGATTTTCATTTTCTTTCCAAAGAATCATTCAATTACTAATGCTTGTTGACTTGGATTGAATTCAGATGAGATATTGAAGATGGGATATGCTCTCTTGAAAACCTATAAGGAAGAGCTGGATTCTAAAGATATTGTAACTCATCAGGAACGTTTCCATGATCGAGATGAAGATCTGTCTCAATTCTTTTTGGAGAGGAAACGGTTCTATGAATTCAACAGGAGTGAACCAGGTGCTTGTGAGATTTGGATTGGTATTCTCCGTCCATTACAAAGAGCAATCAGGGTATTTCCCCCCTCCCCACTTCTTTCTTTTTTCCTTTTTTCTCATCTGATCTTTTAGAAGAAAGTAAAATTGAACTAAATTTCTTGATTGAAAATTGACTTTGTAGAACATTGCTGGTGAATGGGGAAAGGCAATTGCTGAAGGTGCAAACGCACATGTCCGGGATAAGATTTGGGAATCTGAGTATGGACCTGGAACTGGAGGCTCTGGTAAAAACAGCAAGTCAGTATAATCACATTCAAATAAAGATCTCAAATTTTCACTGATTTTGTTCTTCTTTATTCCAGACATGCTTATGATGTCCAAAAGAAATATGATGAATTGAGTTACAGTAAAGCGTTTGAGTATCAACCAGGGCCAGAAGAGATGGAGCTTTACAAGTTTGATCTGGACGAATTCAAGTTGACAATCGACCTTTATTTACAAGGCTTGGGTCCAACTGGTTATGCACTTCTCAAAGTCAGTTCTTTTTTTTCTCTCCATCAAAATTTGCTTAGGAAATTGAAACCTTTCCTCCATTTCTTGTGATCTGTCCAACATGATCAGGCTTCTTGTTTAGCAATGTGCTGCAATCCTGAGTCATTTTGTCCCTATGATATTGCTTTTAGAGAGGTAAGTGTTTTTCTTATTCCTGATAGACAACAATTTGAGATACACTTGGGGAACAGCTGATTGATCATCTAATCTCATCATTTTTTTTACCTTGGAAAAAATAAAGATTTGTCATTTGAAAACTCTAGCAAGACAGAAAAAGACACACTTGACCTCTACAGGGGAAACAGACATGATTGATATCCGAGCCCCAAAATCGATTGTTACAACTTCATATCTCACAAATGTTGTAAAACAAGGCACTCTTTTGGGCCGCTCCAAGCCTCAAGCCCATTCAGATCCAGTCTAATCTCACTTACTTCTTCTATCACCTTGTACACCTTTTTGTTTCTGTAGGAAGTCCCCCCCCCCAAAAAAAAATGAAACTTAAAAAATCAAGACCAGTTGTAAAATCATTTTATTTCCATTCTCTATCATGGTTCTTATGAAATTGTGTCTGTACATTCTCTAAAGATGGCCTTGCGGTACCCGTTGGGCGGTACCCGGGACCTGTTGGCAGGTACCGCCTTCACTCCTCCGGTACCCGCCAAGTGGTGCCAGGTGCGGTACTCGGTGCCTGCTTTTGTGCAAAAAAGCAGGCGGTACCCTGGTACCTTTGAGGGTACCCGCCCCCAAACCCCCTCCTCGGTGGCTTGACCGAGACTAACTGGTCTCGTCCAGGTTGCTGGAGAGGACCCCTCCTCGGCAACCTGATCAAGACCAATCAGGTCGCCGGTAAGGGCCCTCCTTGGCGACCTGATTGGTCTCAACCAGGTTGCCTGGAAGAATCTCCGGTAGCCAGGCAGTACCTGCCAGGAGTACCGCCGGTACCCGTCATACTTGAGCGGGTGCGGTACCCGGTGTCCGTTTTGGCCGAAAAAAGCAGTTGGTACCCGGGTCCCATGGGGCCATCTTTAACATTCTCATTCTTTGTGAAAAAAACTCACGTAACAATGGTACCTTGATATCAATAGGGATCCTTAAGACTGATATTGTAGTGCAGCACCACAGCATGATACTTTGCTGCTGAAATAACATGATTAAATCAAAGACTACATTTCTGGATTATGTTGTTCATCCTACAAGCCCAAACTGGGCTGTTGTATCTTGCATTATAGGCTCTCAAGCATACATACATATTGCATTGGGCTATCCAATCCATCATTTCAAAAACCTGTACCTTGTCAATTTTCCCAGTACAATACAAACACCTGGCATTGGACAAAAAAACATCCCCTCCCTCAAGAAATATAAATATGGATATTACAGTGGCAAAATGAATCTGCCAGCTAGGGCCTGAGCTCAAATTTATCTTTGACACACAGGCCTTATGTTTGTGATGGTGATGGCTTGTAATAAGCCATACATCAGATTTTCTCCTTTTGAGTAGTTGACCATAATTTTGCAAGGGTTTCCTTTTTGCATAAATTCAGACACTTTCTGATCCTCCCAAGTGCATAAATTCAGACACTTTCTGATCCTATACCTGAGTTCTTATTCTGGTGCCCAGTTTGATGAGGAACCTGAACAGATGGAAATATGTAGAGTGTCTGCACGGGCAACAGCAGCCACTCAGAACCCAAGATCTTGAACAGATGATCAAAAAAAAATCCAAAAATTACAAACACTTTGGTTTGGTGGAGCCTGACTGGCAGATCCCTTTTGCCACTGCACTATCATGTTAATTCATTTCCAAACCTTGAAGGCAGTTTTTAGCAGATTCATCAAGAACATATAATTTCTGTGAAGATTGATGAATGGGCTGCTTTAGACCAATCTACAGAGCCTTACAATAAAAAAAAAATCAAAGAAAGGATGAGTGAGACCAGCGATGGATGAAGGTGTTCTGAAAGCAATGAGCATGTGGGACTTTGATTAATCTTGTTTTTTCATGATGATTCTAGATAAGCAAGATATACTACTTCTACAAATGTATAAGAAAACAAATCAGGAGGGAAAAACAAAGAGAAAGCTGAGGATAAAATAAACAACATAAGGTTTCTATAGCAGTATAGTAAATGCAAGTGGGTGAGATAGGCTTCGCGAAAAAAAAAATGTGATGAAGTACTAGATTATGCAATCAAAATGATGTCTTGAACCGCTAAATAAGGACAGCAGAAAGAGGAAGAAGAAAAAGTTGATGGCATAATTTGGAATGTTGCTGAAGGTTGCTGTTGAGTTTAATGAGAAGCTTTTATGAATAAACATATTCAATCTCCAACCCAAAGGAACTGCATACCTAACTAAAAATTCGATGGCCCAAGGAGATCAAGGAGTTGGTCGATCGAAGAGATGGACAGACTTCATAAGCAGCTCTAAGTAAACGCTCGCCCGTTTCTTCAATTCATGTAAATCTGAGTTGACGACCAGCCGACTGGGACCGAGTGGTTGATCATCCTGGAAATCCAAACACGGAAGGAAAAAAAAAAACGAACGAACGAAAGAATCGGCGATGAGTGAACAGTTGTGTTGGAGATCGAATCCTGAATGACATATGCCTACCTTAATGGGCGATCCTTGCACCTCTGCCCCATCATCGTTCACCCTATCTCCACCCTTCCCGCATACTTTCTGTTCGTCAATCCACCAAGCCCAACCGAAGGGCAAGGGCGGACGAGCATCTCTGGCTGACTGATCGAGATGGCGGGCGAAGGGGAGCTGGTCGAGCTCGGTCAAGATGTGGAAAGCTTGGGACGAAAAGTGAGTCTCCAAGGTGAATGGAGAAGAGCAAAGGACGAGCCGGTATTGGATGTTGTCGATCATCTTGATCAATCGGTTGTATGTCGATAGTGATCTCGATTCGGCTATAAGAGCTTCGATGGGTGCAGCGGATCTGAGCTCCTCAAGCTCAATCCCAAACCTTCCGCTCCCAGAGGCTGCCTCAGATTCGTTTAGCCCCGATTTGACTAGATCGAAGCAAGATTGAATCCATTCTTTCATCGGGTCACAAAGGTTTTCACATCTAACTAACTAGTGAAGTGTTGTTTCCAAGCATCAGTCAAAGTTTTTTATTATTATTAAATGGTTTCTTCAAAAGCAAAATATTGTTGTTTTGTGTACCTACATCATTCAGAAAAGACCAGTAGGACTGTTTATGCTGATCAAGAAGTTTAACCAGCTTGTCAACCGAGACCTCCTCCTCTTTCCGTCTGACCAATAACTGGACCAAGTCTTTCAGAAAAGCTTCGGTCTGTCCAAACTTCTTGGACAAGTCTGAGGCCAGGGCGACCTTGTAAATCGTTGGATAATAGATCTCTAGGATTTGCTTGATCGTCCGGATAATCGGATTATTGGGCTCCGTTATCATCTCAATGATTTGTTCTCGATCTCGCTTTAAACTGACTAAGCTGTTGAGTTTCAGATGCGATAAACATTCTTGAGTTGGTTTACAGTGAATCTTCTCGGGACGATAGATAGGTGTGCTCACCGGAGAAGGATAATAAGATCATGAAACAGATTGGCATCGGCCAGTGAGCCACTCGAATTGTTGAAGATTTTTTCACTTTCTTGAACGCTTTGTAGCTCGACCTCATCAAAATCTTTCGACCAACGAAGGATCAAGATGATCATGTCTTCGTCACTTTGATCTATCAAGTTTTTTTTTGATGGTACCAACCAACCAGACAATCGCTTGTGTGAGTTACCCAGACTGGATCAACGAAAGAAACGAAACAAGATGCAAAGGCTCACCAAATTCAGCACGAGTTTTCCGTTTCTCTTCCTCAGGCAAATAAACGAACTTTTTGATAGCTGCAAGTGATTTCATCCTACTAAGCTCCGACGGATGGGTGACTGGGGGATAGCTGGATTGAACAACCGTTTCGATTTTCTTATCATAACATCGTATTTCATGTCTGACAATGCTGTCCAATATTCTTTGAAAAAGACTTAAAGAGCCGACTGCGTGCAGCGTAAGAAAGGAGCAGCCACAATCAAAAGTCAATCAATCAATTAGATATCGGAAGTTGAGCCCCAGGTATCTCACATGGCTGGCCCAAAATCAACGCCACCGTAGTCCTGATTGCTAGCGTAGGGTTTATAATCTTCAGGCCCTGTCTGTGGCATATAATTACCAATCAGCGATTTGAAAACGAATGTCTCTTTCTTGTGGAGAAAGCTCCACCGAAAGATGCAAGGAGGGAAAGCCGAGACAAACTTGATTAACTCATATGGCACGAGTTTATCGATTTTAATGAACAACTCGCAAACCTCATCGCCGTCAGGTCCAGTGATGAAGACGAAACTGAGGGAAGCGAAGAGCCGATGAGATCAGTGGATGCCAATGCCACATGTACGGGGCAACCAGGCAGGACCACAAGTGAACTTACTGGAGCATGTAAGCGATCCACATGATCGTCCAAGTTTGGGCTTGTTCGTACATCGGGTCCAGGGCCAAGACGGTTTCAAGTCGTTCGTGCTCGGTGATCAATTTGTACATTTTATCTATCTCACCGTCTACCATGAGGAACAAATTCATTAAAATGTAGTCTTTTGTTTAGCCGTCATACAGGCCCGAGGGGTCTTACCATGATGGACGATTTTTGTGAGAAAATTCTTGTATCCTTCCTTGGCTTCGGACACTCTCTTCCCAGTACTGATCCAGTCTGTTTGGAAGCCGCGTTCATCAGCAAGGAATTTATCCAGCTCATTCTTGATTTCGTCATCTGGAGATGAAGGATTGGGATGGGCAGCCTCAAGGACTTGGTACAGCTTCTCGGCTTGGGAGGATTGAATGTGGAAAACCCGTCGGAGTAGCGAAATGCTAGTTTGCCTATCATGATGTCCGGTGCTTGGGTCAATCTGGGAAGGTGCGGTATCAATTATCCGTCCCAAAATGAATTTTAAGACGCTTGAGGTGGAAGCACTCGAAAGAAATCGAGTAAAATACGAACTGTTTTGAGCAGGTCACAAAGCGCCGACCATCCAATCACACTTATTCCCACATTCAGTGACAAATTTTCACCTGCACTGGAGTCGATAGGTAGCTTGGGTCTCCCAGTTTTCTTCCGGTATAATACGAGAAACTCATCCTGTTCATCAAATCAATTAGAAGGATGGTGTGAGATGATGATGATTCTATTCGACTTGATCTCTTCAATTTTTTTTTCAAGAGTGCAAGGAAGATTTACATTTTTCCTCTCAACGAACTTGATCCTACTACCAAACGTGGAGATTAACTGGGGCAACTGGGAAACTAAGTCGAGGTCCTCTTGTGACGGCCTGGTTGGTAGACTAAGCTGATTTTGAAAGCTGATGATCGAAGTGATGTAGCTTGATAACAACTTAGTAAACCCGATGGAGATCACCGCACGTTTGGTGAATTGTCTACGTTCGCGGCTCGTCGAAAAATTGCGAGAATTGAAGTCGAGGATGAATCGCTCGATGCCCAGCCAAGTTTCGACTGGAGGGTGTTTCAAAGAAGGCAAGATGCGAAGGATGTCAAATTATAAATCTTGGCTTTGTTTTGTTTTTGTTTTGTAGGGTTTGTTTGTTTGTTTGTTTGTTTGTTGCTGAATGTGTAATTTCTTAAGCCTTGGAAGATGTGCTGCTGACTAGGTAGATCAATGAGCCCAGGAAAGGCACCCCAGACTCGTTGGATCATCAATCTAAACAGGGGTAGCTGATCGACATCACCCTTAGCCCGGTCCCGGACCGCCTGGCGCTCCCTGAGATTGGAACCAAGCTGTGATTCGGCCTCGCTGACCGATCGGGCAGATGGGGGGGCACTTGGCGAGCCAAAGAAGCTGAGGACCGTACTTATCCTCGAGGGTTGCTTCTTAAGAACGGGTGTAGGTTGCTGAATAGGTTGTTGAAGGGATTGGTCGAATGGATAGCCAATGGCCTTGAGTGAATTGACTCGCGATAGTTCTTTCCATTCCCGCTGGAGCTCGAAGCTGCTTGTTGTTCGATCCAGGAAAGCGTATATAGATATGAATGTTCAGTGATGATGCTTGATGGTGAGTTGAGATGGGAAGACCAAATGTAAAGATGACTACACCTGGCGAGAATTTTGTTGAGAGAATGAAGGTCGAATGCGGTGAAGGATTGTTCAGGCATGGCCTGATCGAATGGAGCAATCAAAGCACTGTTTCCTAGGAATGATTAGATCGATAAGCCTGGCGGAAAGGTTAGAAGTGTGTGGGATGAGTTCTTATATATGTTTATTGTGAAGAGGGCGATCAAATTCAAATACCGTCGATAGATTGCCGGCCCCCTGGCTTGGGATTGGGAGATGGGGGTGGATTGATGAGTTTGGTTTGTGTGGGTGGTGGAAGGATGAGAGGATCGATCGAAGTGGTGAGTGTGTCCTGCTTGATCGAGATGAGACAAGACAATCTCCACATGGCAAGAGGAAAACACTCAAGTCCACCACCAACCGAGAAACATCAAAGCTCATCTTCGACACCCTCAAACAACTCATGTACACTCAGCCTTTTCAGGAGCCCCAATCTTTACTTGAGGAGCTCATAGCCCAGCTCACTCAAACCATGCCAATCAAGAACAAAGCTACTGTTTTCCTTGCCTTGGTAGGTAATTTCAGGATGATCTGTGCGTGCTCAGTTCCTCATCCAGATGGACATCTCTTACTTTGTCAGGGCTTCTCAGATCTTAAGATTTCACCTCAACCGCTCAAAGTGAGAAACATGGATATACATTGGAGGGAGGGAGGGAGCGGGCTGCAGGATAGGATCGAAGAGAGACTGGACAAGACATATTGGCTTAGAGTGAGCATACTATGTATAACAATTCATTAGGGCGGCTTGGGATGGGGGGCGGGGGGGGCGGATGGGCGAAAGGCGGGTAGCTCAAAGAGAGTGAATTCCATCATGCTTGCTCCGACTCCCTACTCATCATAGCCAGGGCTTGAGATAGAACTAATACATGTTGCCACCCGGACCAGCTGCAACTTCGGGATGATAGACTTGCGAGGGCGGTGGAGGAGGGCGATGGAACGCATTGCCTCCCCGAGGTCCACCACGATGTCCACCTACATAATCCAGATCAACAGATTCAATCAGTCATCATCTAAATCTGTTTCATTCATTGTATGCATGATCATCTAGTTCTTCGACTTGCCATATCTGCCACCAGGGTAATCTGCCCGAGGTCGATATCCTCCATTGGCCTCTGGCGGACCCCCAGGACCCGGTCGCCAGCCATTCATCTCCATCGGAGGCGGCCCCTCCCGACCACCCCGGTATCCTCCAGGATTACCCCTATACCATCCCCGTCCACCTCGATATCCGTCGTGGTTGGCTCCTCCCCGGGGCATCCCCGGGCCACCTCGATATCCTCCCCGACCACGGAAGTGACCTCGTGGATTGTTCATGTGGTGGTGGGGTGGACCTAGTGGTAGCTGACCTGAGCCGAGATCTCCTGGGAGATGCGATTGTGGCGGTGGGGGTGGTGGGGCCGGCGTAAAGTTCGTGGCCAGATGGTTGGGCTGACCCTCGCCTTGACCTTGCACATCTTCCGCCCAGTCGATCGTCCTCGCAACTACTTCGGCTTGAGTGGCGCTCAAGTGCTCCGGGGCGGTGTTCCAGTCCTGGGAAGCTGCTGGCGCTGCCTGCAGCTGTACCGAGGGTTGGGATTGTTCACCTGCGGTCCAATCCTTCATACTTGATGGTAGATGTTCTGGTGTAACGATCGTCGCTTGTTCGAGCAGCTGCTTGTTCCTTGCCACATGGTCGATGATCGGCTCCTTCTCCACGATCGGCACTGGGTGGGAGGTGGGAGGTGAGGGGTCAGGCACAGCTGCCGGAGTTTGATCTTCACCGGCAGTAGATCCCACGGGTGGCAAGACTTCAGATTGTTGTAAAAACATCATGTTTCCAAGTGGTGCAGATGAATTGACTGGTGCGACCTCCTCTTCAACTTTCAACTGGTCTTGGTTGGATGGTGGGATCTGAGCCACTGGCGCTAGCTCTGCAGGAGATGCGGTGAGCTGGATAACCATCTCCTTGACCTTTGCGACTAAAATACCAAAGAAATTAGATTAGCTGATGTTCGTTTCATCGCACCACGTCAATGGGCCTCACATGAAACACCCTCGATGACGTCACCAGTATGACCTTGAGTAAACCGATTGATACTATCAAAGGCGTCCCCATCACCACCAGCGATGGCTATAGATGATTGGTTAGCATTTCAACAACCGCCTTGGTCAAATAACCAAATTGAGTTTGACGATCATCAGTTAAAAAAAAAAACTTACGTCCATCAGCCAATCGATGAAAGAGAGCATTCACAGCGGCTAGCTCCTGGGCTGTAGCGTTTTGTATCACGGGTGAGACGATAGGTGGCGCGAAAGAGTCAGTTGGCCGAGTGGCTGAGTTAACAAGAGAGTACAGATGCAGGAATTGCAGCAAGAATGTCAAATTTGATTCGGCTTTTTTCTGTCCAAGGCGAAGGAAAAAAAAAACACGAGTCGTTGTGTTTTTGTGCGATTTTTTTGGAGTGGAGAAGGTGAATGAATCCCAAAGTCAATACGTTGCATGATATTAAAGCTATTTAGATAGTTGTGGTTCGAACAACCCTGGGAAAGCTCAGGTAGTATGGGGAGAGAGAAAGGAGAACGGACCTGCTCGGAGAGAACCGCACTGTCAACCCTTCCTTGCACTTTCAGTTCCTCTTCTTCTCGTACAGCTTGAATTCGAAGCTCATCGAGTTTCTCATCTTCCTGTAGTAGCAAACGGGTAAAGATTCTTCAATGCCTATGCTTCTGATCGACTTGCGTAGGGCTAGGAGGATAGATCGATACTTCAAGTGACGTACTTCTAGAATTTTCAACAAGTCTTGCAATTCTTTGACGGTCGCTTCTAAGGCTGGTTTAGAAGCGATAGCCCGTTTTTGATCTTCGTTCAACGGAACAGTGCTACTCTCGTAACCGCCAATTCGTTGCTAGATAGGTGGAACAGATCAGGATGTGATTCAGGTCAGACGATGGAAGGCAGAGTCAAGATTCTCTTGATGGAGCCTGGATGGGTAAGGCGATGTGACGAACCAGTTTCTTAGTTGCAGCTCTGATCCGCTTTTGGACTTGTTGAACGGGCGATATGGATACAGAAGCTGAGGCGGGTGGGGCTGATGGGGTCAGCCCATTGAGAGGCTCGGGCACGGATGCGATGACTGGTGCAGGAGCAGGTTCGGTGAGCTCATTGGGCTCATCGACAATGGCGGGAACGGGGGCGACGGCCTTGGTGGTGTCATCGACTTTTGAGCCAGTTTTCTTTTTACGGGAGCGCTTGGAAGCCGGGTTGTTGGGTGGTTGAGAGGAAAGTCCGGGGATGACACGAGTGGTATTCGTTGTCGAGGTCGGGGGGACGGGCTGATCGGTAGTGGTGGGGCCAGCCATAGGATTCGAATGTGTGCACTGGAGCTAGATATACGGGAGACCGATTTGGAACGAAATAGATACCCAACAAGATTAAGAATATGAGCATCTGTTGATTTTCGTTTGGCTGTCAGAAGAGGAGGAGGAGGAATTCAAGGGACAGAGTACTTCAGAGGCTTGGAACTCACTCTAGGTAGGGCTGGGTCAATCGATAAGACTGATGATGACGTCGATCGATCGAGGAGCGGGACGGAGAAGATTTCTGAAACGCAATGAGGGCCTCTATCTATCTATCTATCGGAGCTCAATAAGTGTTCGATTTTTGTTCTATGTATGACCAGGAAGTTGTGTTTGGTCTGGAGCAGGGACTTTGATGTTTTTCTTTCTTTCTCGGCGTTGAAGGATTCTCCGGAGTTGAGAGTGAAGCCGATCGAGCCAGCTGACAGCCCAAGCAGCCGAGCCCCCCTCGGATTGCTGTATGTAGCCCCCCACCAGTGGCTGACAACGTCATAGAATTCTAATATTTGGCAACCGGGTGCAGTACATAGACTCATGAGCTCATCAAGTCATTGAAATGATGAACATTCTCACTCAGAATGCATTCCAGCCCCTTCTGTTTGCTTGCAGTTTGTCGAGGATATCGAAAAAAAACATGCCATGATTCACATTTGTTTGGCTGAGATGTAAATCTTGAAAGGGTGCTCCTAAAGCATGGTTCAAGCCGGCTGTCGAGGTCAGTTCTATGTGCCATAGTGTCAATCCAGCTCAACGACATGGAAGAATGAGGAAAGGAACAACAGAAACTTGCTAGGTTGCAGGGTGACCAGAGATATATGAGTGATACACTTAATAGGCTTTGACTAATCTCAATACTTGTAAAGCAAGAAGGAATTGCCACAGTCAAGAAACTACAACAAATGCTACACATGACATCCAAACATTTGATTTCAGCCAACACAGAACAGAATACTGTGATTGATATAATTGAGCAAGCATACTATCTAACAGATTCAATGCTGACAGGTTTTGTGATTGATATGGATCAAACCCTTTTTGTTCAGTAAATCAAGATTTTGGGAAGGCCACCTTGCAAGAATTAATGTGTTTCACCTTAAAAATTTGAAATAATAATCAAACTTCTTCAAAATGGATGATGGGCAAAACATGTGATATAACCACAATTGGCCAAAACTAGCCTGGTTCAAGATGAATTTGCTTTGGATGTTGATCAAAATTGCATAACAATTTCAACCTGGTCATATGTGAGATTACCAGAAATAAACACTCAATATTGAGGTGCAGAATTTTCCAACCTTAACTAAGCCTCCTGTGGTGAGAGTGTCTGCAGTCAGGTTTGGGTGGTAGCCCAGTATCACCAGAGAGGCTGATGCCTAAATAACTCAAAGTTTGCCTGAGAAAGATGGGATTTAGAGGCCTTTGTTGAACTTTCACATTGTCATCTGGCTTCAATGCCATTCTTCTCAAAATTTCATTGTTCTGGGATCACTCTAGTTTTTTTTTGTGTTTTATCATTATTTATGTTTCCATACCAATTTTCTTTTTGAAAATTAAACAAAAAAAAATGGAAATTCACATTTTGCAGGCACAAAATATGCTGATACAAAGATTTCTCTCAAGACTCTCTGCCAAATCTGTAAATCAAAGTTCAAAATCATGAACTTGATTGGAAGTTTGTTGCTAGAATCAAAAAAGTTTTCACAGAAAAAAAAGACTGCAAAATGTTATGAAGATCTTTCATCTGCTAGAACAAAAAAAAAGCTATAATGAATGAGACTATGAGTGGTGGGTCAGATTGGGTTGCCACCACAAAAACTGTGTTTATCACCCATACCAGAAAACCATTTCAGCATGGAAGTCCCTCACTGAGGGAGGGGGCACTTTTTCACCCAGCCAGTTACACTAGCAAGGCTAAGGGGATCATTTTTAAGCTGGAGAATTTTTGTGGAATTGTATTCATAGATTCACCAAACTTAACAGTAATGAATTTTCCAATGGGAACATGAATTTGGGTACATACTTCTTGTAAAAGATATAGGTATCTATTTGTATCTGAAATGCATGAACAATATATGCATAACAAAATCATAGAGTTTATGCCAAGTGGTCATTTTCTGTATTAATAGAGGTTTTCATGCTTTCTGATTTCCTTCCCATGGTTGAGTGGTATTTCTTTGTGAATTTACAGTTTATATAAATTTGATCTTTCTTTATTAAGGTCATTTTTTCAACTGCAATATCATATTCAACTTCAATTTTGTCATCAAGTGAACATCAAATTCAAAAATGTGACGCATATGTGATCATGGGTATACATAGATCACCTTTCCACCATTCCTCAAATTGCCAGATCACAAGGGGCCTTAAGTCTCACCAGCCAGATTTGATTAAGGTTTTGTAGTTTTATTTATTTATTTCCTTATTTCCCTTTGGATTTACTTTCATTTTTTTTTCAATGTACAATTGGTAAATAATCACCCTGTATTGGTCTGTCTACCAGTCTATGTGAGGGAGAAACTCAACCCCCTGCCAACTTTTATAAGCCTATGGTGGTTCTATCCTTGATTTCTTGATTTTTTGAGCATCTTGTAAGCTCATCTTTCACCTCCCTGAACTTTGAAGTCCATGCTAGTATTTCTCCATTGTTGATCTTTTCACCCAAACTTCTTGTTAATTTATGAGTTGATTGCAAGATTCAAAGGGTGCGTGCACATTCCGATGTGACGTGACATGCGATGTGACAGGTGCATTGTATGCATTCTGTATGCAATTTGGCAAGCTCGATCAGCCGGATTATGTCATCCACTTGAACTTCTCTCCACGTACCAAAGATCGGTTTCCATCTCACCCCACCCCACCTCAACTCAACCAACATCTCCATCCACCAATAGCACTTTCCAACATCCTCACACCCTCATCCAAGAACTCACAAGAATTCTCAAACCTACAATATCAATATGGCATCCGCAACAATGAAGGGTTGGTTGTTTGATTAGTATCACATCAGAGCAACTGACGGTTATCCTTGAACTAGAGCTCACCCATTGCTTTCCAAATACCTTCTCAGCTATTGTCAAGTCTGTCTTGTCGGGCGTAAGTCGTGCATAATTTACTCAGCCGTCCATGCCTTTCACTTACATATCTGTGCTCACTTTGTGATGTAGGATACTCTCATTCTCAGAGGACGTCCAATTAATGGCCAACCGCCCAAAGAGCGCACTTTACATCTGGCTGGGTCAGTCTATCAGATCTACGTACACCGTAGGCTATTTATTGAACATCAATGGAATGAATCTATTTCTGAAAATTTTCAACAGTCTCACTGCTCCACGTACGGGTTCACGGGACCGCCCAGATGAGCCCTGGGCATTTGAAAGCAGAGAATTCATCAGATCATTGGTTGTCGGCAAAGAAATCGGATTGCAAGTTTCTCCCATCAATCCCTCCTCTCACATAAATTAATCTCGCCTTTGCTCCACTTACTTTTTCCACAGCACCATTTCTTACACCATTCCTTCGGGCGGTGAATTCGGTGTGGCACATTTGGTCTCTGGGTCCAATCCACCCGTCGACGTGGCGCTGGAGATGGTCAAGAACGGCTGGGCTAAGCTCAGAGAGAACACCAAACCGGGTAACGCTGATGATGAAAATGATGGCGAAAGTTCAGAACAAGATCGTCGAAATCAACTAAAGGAAGCCGAGGAGACTGCTCGACGTGAGGGCAGAGGTGTGTGGGCAGAAGATACCCCAGTGAGTTATCTTGATTTGGCAGTGGAATAGACCTGACTGGACACTTGAAAACGAGAACTATTGCTGAAATCTACCCCTTTCCTAGAATCTCGAAATCAATTACTCAATGCCCGAAGACCCAGCAGCTTTTTTGTCGGAGTACAAGGGGAAAACTCTCGATGGTCCGTAGATTGATTACAACCCTCGAGTATTTGCTTGGTTTGCTGACTGGGGTGGGTTTCCTTGTTGTTTTGGCAGCCGTTATTGAAAATGTTTCAAATGGCACAACTGTCCGTGCAAGATTACTGCTGAGCCCCAATCAGCACCAGTTTGTTACGGTCACTATGGCTGGTGTTCGCTCGCCTCGGTCCCGACAATACTCCCCTCAAAACCAAGCTGATAGTTCCACTTCAGCAAATGAAGGCGAACCATTTGGTGACGAAGCCAAATTCTTTACGGAATGTCGGTTGCTTCAGCGCAGCGTGTCTGTCGTCTTGATATCTTTACCCACACCCCAAGCCACCAGTTTGACATCTCAAGCTCAAGCTCAGCAGTCACTAGTCGTCAGCAGCTTTATTGGAATTGTTCAGCACCCAGCTGGATCGATTTCTGCTCTTCTACTCGCCAACGGTCTTGCGCGTGTTGTGGATTGGCATGCAGGATTCCTTTCGTCCGTTCCCGAGCACCAGGGTGGTGGGATGGAACGGTTAAGAAAAGCAGAAGCTGAAGGCAAGGCAGCGCGACGAGGCCATTGGAAATCGGTCGCAGCTCCCGCAAGTGACCCGTCAGCAGCCAATGGATCTACTGGTGCCAGCGCACCCGGCAAGATGAAATTCGATGGAATTGTTTCGAGGGTATGGACTGGAGATACTGTTAGTATTCGAGTGAACTCGGCCAGCAAATCAGACGGGCAGGAGGAGCGAAAAGTGCAATTAAGTAGCATAAGACAGCCACGGTACATAATTTCTATAATTTATTGGGCAAACATTTAGGTTCGTCTCACTGAAAGCCTCTGGTTCCACTTCTTCAGGCCTACCGATCCTAAGTTTGGCGGACTTGCGTCAGATGCCCGAGAACTTCTACGACGTCGACTCATTGGTAAACAAGTCCATGTCTCAATAGATTATGTCAGGCCCAAGGAAGGTGATTATGAGGCGAAAGAATGTGTTACCATTAAGCTACCCACTGGAATGTATGTGTTGAAGTGCCACTGCTTTCCTTTCACTCAAATCCTAATCCAGTGGGGCTTAATTGATGTTTGGATATCTAGAAATGTCGCCAACTTACTGCTCGAGCGAGGATATGCGACAGTGCTGAGGCATAGACAGGGAGAAGATCGATCTCAAGATTACGACATGCTCATGGCTACTGAAATGAAGTGAGCTAGTCCGCCGTGTCTACAGATGAACTTGACGTAATTTTATCTAAATCTCTTGGGGCATCTGACAGAGCTCAAACGGAAGGGAAAGGCTTACACTCAGACAAAGAATTCCCACCTCCAAAGATTACTGATGTCTCTGAAGTAAGTCATTGGTTGGTATTCCTTCTGCTATTCACATGGACCTACAGATTAACAAACTAGTTCGAACTGAATTGATCACTTTAGAGCTCTAGCCGGGCCAACTCATACCTGTCGGGGTGGAAACGGCAAGGCAAAATCCCTGCAGTTGTTGATTACGTCGCCAGTGGATCGAGATTCAAGATTTGGCTCCCCAAACAAGATTTAAAGTTCACACTAGTTCTCAGCGGTATCAAGTGTCCCAAGACGGCTCGCCATCCCGGAGAAAGAAATGAGCCCTTTGGACTTGAAGCCCTTGATTTTTCAAACAGATATGCGATGCAAAGGGACGTGGAAGTCGAGATCGAGTCGACCGATAAAAGTGGAGGTGAGTCTCTGCCCGGATGATTGACTTTGCAACCATATGGATTGATCGATTGGCAATTCCGAATTCAATTAGGCTTTATCGGAGGACTATTCTTGAACAAGACGGATAATCTTGCCCTCTTGCTAGTCAAGGAGGGTCTGGCCAGCTGTAATGAATTCTCGCTTGAGCGCTCCCCATACGGCAAAGACCTGAAATCGGCTGAAGACGATGCCAAACAAAATCATAAGAATGTATGTCCATGATTGATCTTGACAGATTGATACATTATTTGACTGAGAGTAACCCACCTCACTCTTCATTTTCAGCTTTGGAAAGATTTCGATGAACAACCTTCTGAGTCTATGGCGCACATTTCAAGCGGGATGAAGAACATAGCTATCAAGCCAAATTTTGAATATATCGACCTGATAATGTAAGATTTCATAGCTTGTATCCGACGATCAGCCATTTCGAACGCTGGTCGCTCAGTCATTAATCGCATCCCTCCTTAGATCTGATATTCGGGAACCAGTAGATAGCTCGGACGTGTCTTTTTCTGTGCAGATCTTGAAGAATGGAGGTGTGTTTACCGTTGGATCAGAATTTGAAAGAAGTTGCTGTCTTATGATCTTGAATCGTTGATACACATCTCTACTTTTTATGCGAAAAAAAAATGCAGGTATTCCTGAGTTAACATCTTTAATGGCAGATTTCGCTGTCTATCACCGCTCGGCCCCCATTTCCTCTACTCCCGCAGGCGCATACAAAGCCGGAGATCTAGTATCTGCGAAGTTCTCCGTCGACAACGCATGGTATCGGGCAAAAATTAGAAAGAATCTTCCTCACAAGAAAGAAGCCGAAGTAGTTTTTATCGATTATGGTAATTCGGAAGTGGTATCGCATGGGAACATCCGATCATTGGACCCCCGTTTCAAGTCGCTACCGCCCCAAGCAAAAGAGGCTACCCTCAGTTTTGTGAAATTGCTAGGGCCTGATACGGAGTATGGTTCAGAAGCATTGGATCACTTCAGATCACTTGTCGAGGTCTGCCGAGTTTCCTTCATGCCCAATCGATTCTTATTTAGCTGTACTCAAGTTACCTGCCGTATTTGCCCCCATTAACACTCAGGGTCAGACATTGGTAGCGAACATCGACTACCGCGATCCGAGCCAAAATGGTCGACTCCACCTCTCCTTGTATGATACAGCCGACTCACCAACATCTACATCCTCCCTGAATCACCGACTCGTGCGCGAAGGCTTTGCTTTGATTAACCTGAAGGCGCCCTATAGGTCCGCCTATCAGGAGCAGTATTCAGCGTTAGAAAACGCCAAGCAAGAAGCCAAACGTAACAGGGCAGGTGCTTATGAGTTTGGTGATGGTAAGCTTCATTTTGTTTTTACCATGAATAGGCCAAGCGTAGCTGACTCTGAACCCACTTATGAACTTTAAACCTCTGGTAATTTAGCGTTTGACGATTGAGCTTGTAGATAAAGCTCTGACAAAACATCCAGTTGTCGAATGTACTTTTCTCGCCTTCCATACATGTTCAATACCAGATGAAAAACGCAAACCACCGATGAGATAATCAATATGTATAGGAGTGGATGGGTACTCGTTCTATTTTCACACAAACCATTGTTACCTCTTCATTTATTTTTAAATAGCAAAATGCAAGCTTCTTGAGTAACTTACGTACCTTACCAATAGAGTGATAAGACTAGTGTTTGAGAATACAAAGAAGATTCTACTGCATTCATCATCGTTGGTAGCCCTGGAATTTACCTGTTCATGAAGTTAACACTTGGCTCAGTGTACGCGCGCAGCGGATGATTCCTCAAATTTGCGATTGACCACTTGCCGCAAATCTGAGGGGGGGCAACACAGGGGAAATTAAAAATTAATTTACATGAAGGTCTATACATGCTACATGCTATCATAAATCAACTTCGACACAACAAATTCTACAATGACTACTGCGACTGGGTCAACTATTTTGTCCGTCCCATCCATTTTTACTCGGACATATCCCGATTTAAAAGTATACATCTTTTCCGGTACTAAAGTTTATTTGATCGATCTTCACGGAGAGCAACGAAAAATTGGGTAGCAAAGAGAGAAGAAGGCGCGATACACTTGATCTAGTGTTCAGCGACGGCGAGCACACAAACGGGCTACTCTGAATATACCTGCGCCGGTCTGTTCAGAGAAGTCGAGTGAGGAGGTAAGAACTCCATACATAAGTTTCATGTAAATTTTTCAAGAGACTACTGACCAAATACCAGGCAAAGCCAAAAAATCGAACCAAGGATAGCCCGAAGGTTATCCACAATAACGCTTGAAAATATTTCCTGCAAGTTGACGGAGGAAGAGAAGATGCATGCTCAGTTCAGAAAAACAAAGGAGATCAAGGAGGAAGACTCACGTCCGAAAATCGATGGTACTCTGCATGATTCCAATAATTATACCAGCATTTCCTAGCAGCCAGATCGCAATAAAGCGAGTCCTAAAAGTTTTGTCCAGGTCATCTGCCGTGGGTTTTTCAACAGCCTCAACTGATGTTAAAGGTTGCATGGCTCGCGCCACCGTTTCTTTGAAGTCTGTGTCCAGCTCTGATTGATCCTGTGTTTAATATGCATAAAGAATTGTCAATTGGGCCCAGGTGGTAATCCAGATGCGAAAAAAGGAACTTACTCTACGAATGTCTTCAACCACTCGCCCACCATCATCCTTGGCGGTGGTAGTACTGGAGACTGAGGGAAGAGATTCGGCTTTATCGGATCCTTTGGTACCCCCTGATGAATACAGCGTAACATTAGCCAAGATCACTTTGTAAAAGCAGTGGACAGGCGTTGCTCACATGAAACGTCGTGCAAATTGCAAAAGGCATAAACCTGTTCCAAAGGGTTAGCTGCTTTTAATCAGAATGACTAGAGCGAGAACAAGATCCGCATACATTGAGAATATTTGTGAAAGAAACCGCAATAAACAAGTACGGAATCATAGAATGCAACAGATGCCAAGGGCTAGTTACACGGCGGTCAGAGAGGTATAACATAGGCTATTGAGAGAGTCATGATTGTAGACGTACTCCATATACAAAATTGACGACTGAGGCAAGAGGTAAAGCAGAAATAAATCAACAAGGAGGAAAAGATATCTCAGATGCAATATACACCAGACTTACAAAGATGTAAATCCCAAAAGTACCTGCCAAACCAGCGAAGATAGGGCCTGGATAGAAGATTAGACAGCAAGCCTGTTCAAATGAAAGCGTGTGTGTGCAAGATATAGAAACCAATTGTACCATAGCTAGTGCTCATAAAAACCGAAGCTTGACTGGTCCCTGAAGCTTCTGCCTCGTCAAGTTGAACGTGAATCGGGCAAAATGCTTTGACAGTTAAAAACTTGAAAGAAAACGAGTTTTAGCGCGTTTGGGGGACGGGAGCCCAACGGAGTAGGATCGGTTAGACTTACTAAAGTCATCGTTAACAGGTAAATAGCAAATGATGCGAAACTAGATAAAAAAAACCGTCCGTTGGCAAGACCCCTATGTTTGAAATTTCCAAGACGAAATGATTTGCTTACATGCACAAGCTAATTAAATAGGCCTTTGTTCGTCATATACTGGATTAGCGACGGCGAAGAAGACGAAGAAGATTGCACATTTTGAGACAATGAAAGGCTTACTTTTTTCTCCCCCTTCGGACGATTTCCTAGAGCCAAAATGATTTGAAGGGATACCAAAGCAAGCTGCAATGCAATCAGATTCACAAGTAAGTGTCCAGAATAATGCGCAAGCCAAGTTGATGAGAAAAAAAAAATAGTGAAGCTCACATAGACAAGTTTCAGTGCGTAATTGAGTTGACCCAGCCAGTCGTATTTATCTGGTACTGAGTCCGGGTTATTGAAATGGGCCGTATTGTCAAGCACCGTACCAGACCTGATAAATAAATAAATATTTAGGTTGATGAGAATTGGTTTTTCGACCTGCTTCTAAATTTGTTCCTTGCGTTTCACTCACCAACATTCCATGGTAACCCAAGCAATTTTTTCGGCCGACGTGCCACCAGGACTTTTGAAAGGATCGGTGGTATTCCGGTTGTCTTGAAATCCTCTGAAATTTAAAAATATCTAGTTGGCCTATGTTCTGCGGAGATTTTGTAGCAGAAAAAATATTTCAAGGCTTACCCAGCAGCGTACTAGTTTTGATTGAATCGTGAAAATCCAATCCAGGGTCAACCTCATGATATGGAAAAAGGTCTTGTACTATTGACGAGTGAGTGGGATCACTTACTGGGTCTCTCCAGAACTGATGAACTGTTGGCGAAAGAAGAGACTCAGGAAAATTAATATCGCTCGAGAATTGAGCTCTGATAGATCCAAGAAGACTTACCCAAATCTATAATGGCTGCGAAGGTAACATACCAATTGGCCAGAGAAAACCAGCTCATAATAAGACTAAAAATCCGACTGGCTGTCAGCTTCTTGAATACGATTGGGTTTCAAAAAAAAAGATGGCGTACCCAACGGTCGTGTAAATGGCTTGGACGTGCAGGAAGAGCAAGCGGATAGGGTTGTGCCAGGTCTTATACATCCTTGGAAAGTGTGCCAAAGCATAAACTCCAGCAGCGAACGATCCTGAAACAACAAATCCACATTAGCCACTCGAGTAGCTTCGAGTTAACATCGACGCGTACCATTGAGCCATCGTCTGCGTTGGCCAATAAGCTCTGCGGCAGACTCTGGCACATCCGTTTCTCCTTTGGCCGGCTTGACATAACCCAGTACCCACTTATCTTTAGCTTTGGCTACTAATTCAAAGCACAAGATTCGGTCTTCGGCTAAAAACATGTTCTGGAGTGCGGAAGTGATTTAGAATGTCTTATTCGTGTTGCAGCAAATGGATGAGATATTGGAAATGCTTACTTTTTTGAAAATTCCCATTCCCTGTGCGATTTCGATCATCAGCTCAAGATTGATTTTGTTTTTTAACAAAAAGTCAGGTGATAGGCACTACTTACTTGAACCCCTTTGTCTCCAAGTTTTGCAGCCAAGGAATGATCACCTATCACGTACCACACACGAAATTCACATCAATCAACAAACACATGGAAGGATGGCAAGAGAATCACATACCATGAAAGTATTGTTGGAGCGGCCTCCCACGAATCGCTCTGGTCCGATAGGCCGAGAATGCACCGGGAAGTACTGAGACATAGCCGAATGACGACTCTAGCGGCTTATCCAATATATCTGTTATTCGGGTTTCATTCTTCCCTCAATACAACATCGCGGTTCTTGGTCATACGAGATGGCTAGGGGACTACTTACTCGACATCTACCAAAATCAAAAAGAAATTGTTTGCAACATGAGTAATATGGAGTCTCGTCCAAATGCACGGAAAAATCATCTCACCTTGTATTCGAAGTTTTGCGCTGCCACCAAAGGGTTTAGAAGCTTTTTGCCTCCTGATACTGATATAGTTGAAGGTACCAATCAGCCAACTGAAAACATTAATAAACTGTCTTCGTACTTGAGGCTTACACATCGCATGAATTTCGCCACAAGCTCCGCCCAAGTTTGGATTATGAAAGAAGGCTTCCCATAAGTAGTAAAGTGATCTTGGCCCGGGCTTAGTTCCAGCGTCGAGCAAAATGCAAACCTCAGGTTCCAGGTGTGGACAGATCGCATTAAACAGCCAACGATGCGAATTTATCTTCTTGGCATTCTAGGAAATGGAGCGAGAATGGGTCAGCACTAGGTCTCGGCAGAGAAAATGGCCCGCAAGAATTAAAAATACCTTTTGTTTCAAGACAAACGTCATCTGAACTGGAACCAGATTATCGGCGTCATTTTCCTGTGGACTGATGAGTTCCAATTTGGGTGTCACTGATAACATGGTGGTATACTGATCGCGGAATGAAATGTACATTAGAGAATCGCTCGATCACCGCGCGTCCATATACATATGTTTCTTTGAAACTGAAGCACCAACCTCAAATACATGGGCCTGAGTTTCCTTTCCATCGACCTCTTTTTTCATCACTCCATCTTGGTAGACGCCTAAGGTGGCCAACAGGTCCAATGTTGCTTTATCAGCCGGCTCGATCCCATCAAACACTAGGACAACAGCAATCTTCTTCCAAGCGGCTCCGGTACCGGTCTCAGGCGCTCCTCTATCAATTCAATTAAACCAGCAAAAATATTGTGAGCGTGATTAGAGGGGAGTCTCGATTCTCCCGCCATGACATTTTTGGAGTTTCGGACTTACTTCTCCGCCATTTTCTTAAATTCACTCCAATGGGCCTTACAAATTTCCTTGAGATTTAACATCACTCCGTGTAGCGTTCGAGCTACTAATACCTTATCTTCGTTATAGTAAGTCTTTTTTTTGATAAATGAATATAATCGAAATGAATGATTTAGGAGCTTGCGACGGAACCAGAAACATTGAGCAAAAAATTACACTCACAATTGCCACGAGCAATTCGATATCTCGTCCATACTTTTGAGGTCGGAGAGACCATCCTGCTTCACGAGTGAAGTCGTCCGGATCACAAGTGACGGCTGTATATCTCATGTGGGTAAACCTTTTTTTTTCAAAAACAAAAAAAGAAAACGTTTTCTTACAGGTTAATGATTTACTTCAATTTCAGGAATGAGTGATCTGATAATATTTGACTTACTCATTATCTTTACCAATGTGACCGCCCATCAGGTTCGCATGCTTGACCGGTGCTACATTAATGGCAACGATGATTAAATGCTTTGATGCACGCGCTTTGAAGATGACTGCGATCACACTGACTAGGTACCGGGTACTCATGGACGAAGTTCCCCTTTGACAATTTAACTTTGATCGTTTTAGCTCGAGTGCGGTTGACCTTTTGTCTCTTACTCCATGCCTCGGCACTAGTCTGAGTTCTGTAGAGTCTTGCGGTCGCTTCTCGGCCTCCGACTGAGGTGTCAGCCGGTAGCTGCGGGGCCGGAAAGCCGAAAGATGTGGCGGAGACCGGCTCGGGTGGATATTCCTGGCCGGTGATTCCCACTTGGTGGTAATCTTTCTCCAGAAATTCCTCATCCACAGAGTCCTCCTCTCCATAGCTCGTAACTGGTTCGTGTTCACGTGGGTTCACAGCGCCATCATAATCTTCAGTTCGCCAAAATTACATTACCGGGAGAGTGTGATGGTACAAATTGTTCAGAGTGGTTATAAAGGCATCAGTATCTTTGTTTTTATAGACCAACTAAGGGACAACAAAATTTGTGTGGTAGTGTTCAGCTCACAGTCATGTTGATAATGAGGATCGCTGAAGGGATCCGCGTAAGACATGGTTGCGTCCTAGGATGAGATGACGAGTTCTAACCCGAAACTTCTCAACGCGTTCTGTGACTGGACGTAGTTCTTGATGATGCAGATGTCTTCGATCAGGGCCTCAGGATGTACGTCTTGAAAGGTAGTATTTGAGAATTGGATAAGTAACAGTGAGCGATGATACGGCGGATGATGAAAAATGTGTGGAATTTCTCACAAACCTATTTATTTACCTTTGCAAAGAGAACTTGAAATTGACTTCCAAGCAATATTGCTCTTGAGACGCCAGATGATTTCGCGATCCGAGATTCTTTTGCGCGGGAAAGGGTTCTGCATGGTGCTTGTTCTCGAAGCCAGTGAGGGAGCGTGCGGGAATACGGCAGCTAGGAACTGGCCATGCTTGCGGAGATGAATGAATGATGCTATGTGATCTTAGTGTTAAGCTTGATGCCTCATGAGTTGATCTATGTATACTCGCTCATGTAAAAGCGCGCCCACAAGAACCGTGCTGGCCGAGAAATCGTCTGCAAGTTCAAAGTTAGCATTGACTCGAGCAAAAATAAGAGAAACTGTTTCGCTTGCATAAGGAGAATATTGGTCCTGCCAAACATCTTCTCCTAACTTATGAGGGTGAGCTCGGGCAATCCTCTGGTAATTCACGCAAGATTGGGTTGCCCATAGAATTTTAAGCAAGAGAAGTGGGCGAATGACTGAGACGCAAGATCCGTCGAACATATAATGGGTGTGCCGTCTCACTTTGTGACTATTTAAATTTTTGGCTGAGAATATGATCAATTGTTGAGGATTGATCGCTGGGGTAATTACGATCTCCCGCGAAATTTTCATCCTCAAGGGTTCCGATCTTCGGAATTTCCTTTTTTTGGTATTTTGTTTGTTTTCTTTTGAGCTATTCTCATAATCCAGATGGCCCACTCGCGGCTACACTCTCCTGGGTCCGGTCGACTTTCAATGTTTTTGTCATTCTATAAAACTCATGATTGGCCGAGCCAAGTAAGGCCCAGATCGGCATAGAGCGAGATGACAGGTTACGCCGTTTTAGGATCGGCTGGCTTCGAGCTTTGATACTGACACTGATCAGACGAGACCATCAAGCTGGGCAGCTTTCAGGACAGGCTGCGAGTAGCACAGGCCTCCATAGTCAAGTTGCTCGAGTGTGTCATATCAGCGATCAAGCCGTGCTACACTAGCTTACCGCCTCACACCCAAAATAAAATGATTAGCTGCAGACCCTTTGCATGCAATATAGTCGATGCCCGGCAAAGCCATCACACACGGTGACTATAACCTGCAGAGCCGAGAGGTGCTAGAGCTGGATGCCCTTGGATGCGCTGTGTATGTGGACCTATATCCTCCCCTAGTTCATTGTAGGCACTCCAACGGAGGGGTCGGGGGATGAAAAGTCATATCCCATATTCCGGAACGATTTGAGAAACCAGCTGGATTTCAAGGTAGCTGTCCAAACCCATTATAACCTGCCCAAATCCATCACAATCTTTGCCTTCCAACGGGCATGGAATAGGACAGATTGTAGGGCATCATGATGTGTGCACTCTTACATTCACAAAGAAATGAGAAGAAGAACTGCGGAAAAAAAAAGACTCAGGTTAGAGATCATGCTCATTGATGGATAGCAATCAGTGATGTTTTGAGTAAAAGTATGTGTGTATGTGTTGATGATGATGATGATTACATGGTTTCTTGAGAGAGAGAGAGAGAGAGAGAGAAAGATGGATGATGTGTGAAGTAAAGAGAGAGAGAGAGAGAGAGGGAAAAGAAAAAAGCAAGAGATAGGAATAGAGACACTATACAAACAAGGTTATTTGATTTTGATTTTCTTTTTGTTAAGGATGGGATGGTGGTAATATGATGTTGAAGATATAAACAGAGAGAGAGAGAGAAATAGATCAGAGCAAGAACATGGTGAGTGGAACTGATCAAGGCAGAAAAAAAAAACCAAAAAGACAAACAAAATTAAGTAATAATAATAACCAGAGCATCGGTTTCAAAAGAAGAAAAGAAAAAGAAGGTAATAAAGGAGATCAGGTTGTGTTGATGGGTAATCTAAGAGAAATAAGATGTAAGCTCTATGTTAAGAAAAATATAATATATGAATGTGACATATATCTAGTGACCTAAAAAAAACCCAACCCACTACGTCTTGATAAACCATTGAATAGAAGATAAGAACGGCGAAAGAGAAAATGGAAAACGCCAACAAAAAGTAAAATTGACTTGTTTGTGTGTGTGTGTGGGGGGGGGGTGTTAATAATGTGTGATTAATAAGAAAAGAAAGATGATTGTGTGAAAAAAGCGGTGATTGTGCCCCCGACGTGATGTCCATTATAAAAAGAAGTCGGAAGTCGTTGTCGCTCTTCGATTTCTCCGATTCTGTCGTATCTTGTTTCTGTTCTTCGTTGTTCATTCTTTCATGTGTCTATGATTATTTTGTTCTTCTTCCGCCATCGTTTGCTGTTGATTGATATATGAACCGCTTTGATAGGTGCAATGACATAGAGAGACGTGCATCGGCAGACAAAGATGAACAAGAGAACCCCCCCCCAAAAAAAAAAGAAAAGAGTCAAGAGAAAGAGATCAAAAAGGAGTAAAGTCTGCAATTGATCAAAATGAGAAAGTGAAGTTAAATGTTAGGCTAATGAAAAGGTCATAGAGAAACTAGTTATGCAAAGAAGAAGACAATCTCGGTTGTTTAGAGATGCCTCTTCAGACCAATGTGACATCCAAAAGTGTTTGTGATTATCGTTTTTTTTCCTTAACAAGAATCTTTCAAGCGATTTTTGGGTACCGTATATCTGAGTATTTTCCAATTTTCCAGACAGAATAAAAAGAAGAAGAAAAATCAATTACACTGGCCAAAACTGAATCAATCAGATGCGAATACGGAGAAAGCGACTTACCCAGCTTGTGCCCAAGTGGTAAAGTTTGGATTGGTATAAGCTCCAAGATGACGATTGATGTAATCCTCAGTCGGCCGATCTAGGCAGAATACAATCAAATGAGTTGACAGAAAGAAGGCATAGGGAGTTTGAGGAAATACCTTTAGGACTACATCCGATATTAGTGTGGCCTTCACGTTGATAGATTCTGACATAATCGATATACATCTTGGCTGGGAAGTTGAGTTTCTCCCATTCGACCGTCTGAAACTTGTTCGAGATCCCGAGGTTGAGGATAACATACATGGGTTCGGTGCTGATCGGTCTAGGTGAGACTTGAGTACCGGATTGGCCCGCTATCGCATTAGCGTAGATCGTCCAAGTCTCCTTGCCGCCATAAGTCCAGCTGACCCTTCCACCGTCGGCCTGGAAACCCTTATTATATTCGAAGCCAAACTGTTGGAAGCCTTTGCCCTCATAGGAGGTCCCGTCGGTCATCGTGATCCCAGAGAGGGACTCCTGCCAGATAGAACCGTGCCAACGGTTGATGATCGTCCCACTGGGGTCCTTGGGCGAGTTAGCCAGATTGGTGACATGCATCGAGCTCGAGTCGTTGAGCCATTGATAGCCCTCGTCCATTGGTGCGATCTGGATCGACTGGGACATCGAGCCCTGATTCCCGTTAGGTCCGTAGGCGTACTGCGCCTCCAGGATATCAATCTCCGGGCCCGAGCGACCCACATCAACTGAGGGCCCCGGATGATCTTCTCCCTTGCACGTACAGGCCGATGTTCTTTGACCCGGTAACCAAGACAGAGCACCACCATAGTCCGGCGATCCCGATGTCTTTGCAGCTGGTGGTGTTCGGCCATCGGGCATCGTCTGATTTGGCAAAGTGCCAACATCACAAGCCTCATACGAATAGGCTGGACAAGTTGATAGGAATCAGCTTCAATCGTAGTTGGGTATTGAGATTGTGGAGACTTACGCCACATGCCTTCGTTACTCGCACCAAATCCGGCCCTAGCCAGATTACCCATCGTCCAAGCCCCAGGCCAGAAGCCTTGAACGCCGGGACTACCGGGCAAGGAGATGTTGACTTCGATGTAGCCTTCGGTGAAGCAGAACTTATTCCAACTTTGGATCATCCCTGACCGAGCTCTCAGATTGTGTGCAGGTTCTTGGTCGATCTGGATCACCAGACTGCCGCCTTTGGTGGTCACTGCATCTGGATCATACCACTCGAAGTTTGTAGTTTGCCTAAATGAGAAGCAAATCATCAGCCCTGAATTTTTTCAAAAAAATAGAATACAAAAGCGAGATACCAGTAGTGTAGATCGACGGCTTCCCAGAATGGGTCATCCCCAGGCCAGAAGGTTCTGTTGTCGGTATTGAATTCGTCAGAGAAGACGAGGTTGTACTTCTTACCATCGAGTCCGGTTCGATGCTTAGCATCATCTGGAGTGGCGAGGTCGATGAGCCGAGGGAGGTTAGGGATATCTGGGAACTGGCCGGTGCCATTGATCCCACCGAGGTTCCAGCCTAGTGCGGTTGGACCACGCCTGAGGACGTAGGTGAGGATTGGATAGAGTGCGAAGAGGCCGATGAGACCGCTGACGAGGATGGAGAGTGAGGCTACGTTCATCCAACCTCGACGGGACCAGAGGATGAACTTGCGATCGGCACGGGAGTCGAAATCGGGATCAGGGTCATGAAGGAAGTCATCCGGTTCTTTGTTCTCTTCCTTCCAGAGTAGATCCTCAGTCGTCTCGGAGAAAGTTCCGGTATAGTTGAGACCGATGGGTGGAGGTAGGGACATGGTTCCATAGACGTGACCGGCTCCACTGTCATCATATGAGACCAATGAGTCTCTGACTGAGCCCGAGTAGCCATCTGCGGAAGGTGGACGACGAGACTTGAGATGATGATTTGAATGGTTGAATGGGCTGAAGATCTTACTTGCGCCCGGAGGTAGGAGAGCAAAATCGACGATTGGGTCTGTGATTGATAAATATAGTAGATTAGTCTCTCTCCACAAAGAAACAGTAGGGATGATAATTGGGGATGTAAACTGAAAACAACAACAGACCATTAGCACTCAGTCTTCTTGGGTTAGATGAGGTATAGGGACCGATTCCAGGGTGACTGAGTTCTTGAGGGAATGGGCCATAGTCACCACCGACGAGACCTGAGGCGATTGCGCTGAGGCTGGATAGATCAGGGCCGGCAGCTGAGGCGGGAGAGCCGTAGGTATTAGCATAGCTATCTCTGGGACGATTTGAGGCAGAGTGCTTTGAGAACTGGGGCTGGTGAGGGGAGGTTGAGTTGGATTGGAGTAGGGTGGGGGATGAGGATGAGAGGGTTGAGGAAGGAGATTGAGAGCTTGGGCTGAGTTGGCGGTGGAGTGAGTGGTGATTGTTGTTGCTGCTGCTGCTGCTGGGATGGTTGTTGATTGAGTTGGGTAGGAGTGTTGTTGGTGAGGGGTGACTGTTGAGGTAGTGGTGGGTGATGAGGTCGTCCTCTGCGCTATCGAAGTACTCGGAGTTACTACTGGGTTCGATCGAGGAGGTTTCGTTGCTAGCACCAGTTGAGAATCGTCGTTGATGTTGTTGTTGTTGGGGTAGTAGATGGTTTGGTTGGTTGAATTGGGGTGGTGATGGTAATCGACTGTTATTATGATCGTTGATATGATTATGATTATTATTATTATTAGTCTGGTTCGATCGAGGTTGTCGGTCGGATTGTGGGACTGGGTCGTATGGCATGATGGCTTGTGGGCAAACGAGGGGAAGGGGTTGGTTGTGGTTGTGGGTCTGTGCGTTGTTGATGGAGAGGTCAGATTAATGAGGGATAGCTGGTTGTTTTTCTGCCCATGTGTGTGTGTGTGTGGTCAAGAGGATGGAAAGAAGGAGAGAGGAAGGAGAGAAGGAGGGCTGGTTGTTGTATCAGTTCATGAGGCTGTATGCAGGCTCAGCTGTCTCACAGCCCTTCAAGCTGTACAACTCATCAACTTCGGTCTGGTAAGCCAAAAGGGACAAACCCCATCGGATCACAGCAGTACACTCGCTTCGAAGTTCGGATTCGATTCATCGGCTTCAGACAAACTCAAGCAGCACTCTTTCATCTGCCAAGCGGCCAGCCGAGGAGTTCTGACCACAGCTCTTCGCGCAATCCTCGATTCGATTCGAACGAATCCCTACAATCCATCTGGACATCAATCTGGCTGGGAAGCACTTACAGAAGATCTTGACTACAGCCAGCCCTTTCTTACTTGTTCTTCGCAAATCTCATCATATGGGTTCATAAAGCTCTCCTTCAATCCGGACAAGAGGGGGGTTCATCATCCAAATACTCTAAAGCCAATTTGATTATCAACCACATTTTCAATACTTGATGAGTGGTTAGGATTTTGGAGGTTTCTGAACAATCCACACACAGCTTTTCAAATTTTGTATAAAAACTCAGACCCTCTCAAGTCTCAAATTGAATCCATCCAATCTCAAAGAATACATTAAAGACCTCAGTTGGAATTGGTTCATGAAACATTTGATGGGTTTTGTTTTGGAAGAAAAAAAAAATCAACTACAGCTCCTGCTCAGTTTGAAGTCTTTACTCAAGAAACCCAATCCAATTTCCAACAACATTCACATATTGTTAGGACAATTTACACTAGATCATTGATCTTAAAGCATTTATATATATTTCACGTCTGATCTTCACCCTGGTTTTAAATGAATAAGCGATTGAAGTAAAACTTGTCATCTCAGGATTGACAAGAAATAATATAGTGGCAAGAACTGTCTAGAGAAAATGATCCCCCCCAAAAAAAAGCATTAGTGCATGTAGCTTAGTGGTCCACTCCTTAGACATCTCCCATTTGCGCCCTTCAAATTGACACCTTGATCTCTTTCAGCATTGGTGCAACAAAGTATTTGTATATGCCCTGTAGGCTGTACTGCATCTTCTTCTATTTGGATTGTATGTATCACTCACCCAATACAACACCTTGTATTTTTTGCAATGTGTATTTCCCTCCCCTTGTGTGATTCTTTGCAGATTGGTTTGACCAATCCAATACATTTGTATTGTAATGGGATATATTGGGTATACAATACAATGCAAATATACCAAGCCTGTTTGTATTTGCAAAAATAAAACCATACAATGTTTATGCATGTATTTGTTGCTGTTTGTGTTCAGCAAGGTTTTATACCCAGACACTGTGTCTACTTCCAAAGTCATGTACTTGGATTTGCTAGGATTTTGCTTACATGAGAGGTGGGACCTAAATATCAAAATTGTAAAAAATCACTCATGCAGTTTGGGGTCATTGATTCAACTACCAAACTGAAGAACTGTTTTGGTTTCTGCCATAACTTTCAACCTCTTACCCCCCCTCCCCCCTCAAGAAAAACAAATGCAAACTTGCAGATTATGTATCTTAAATATCTGCCAAAAATCTCAAGTGGAGGATGTATGTGACTGTGTCTATCTTCCCATTCTACCTTTCCACAAAAACCAAAAATCTAAAGCATCACTCTACAAGATAACCATCACCAGCTAGAAGGGTGTTTGGATTACCTATACAAGAGTAACTGATTTTGGGTAGTTGAATCTTCCTGCTGGTCCCTGGAACATCAACTCTCAGATTGTTACATCCAGTGTACCTGAGCCTATGCTATATTACAGATCAAATGTTGGCTCTTTTAAAGCAAAAAAAATCAAATTTCTTAAAGCAAAAACTGAATTTATTCAGAAAGACCAATTTTACAAATTGGTCTTCTAATTCTTAAATCTTACCACAAGATGGGCATGAGGAATAGGATGGTTTACCCCCTAGCAGCAACATAGCAAAAGTGGGAATGCCAATGTGTTACAATAGCATAACTCAGCCCCTTTGTGTAACTCATTGGCCCATCAATATTTCTCTTTTTGTTATTTTTATCAAAACATCTAGATTTTTTAAATACTTTACTTGAGGTTACATTCTGATACAGACTGTATTAGCTATAAAAAGGCCTTTATTTTCTGTTATCCAGGCCTTTTTTTACAGCCCCCAACATTACTGTTATTGAAAAAAGGAAACATTTTAATAACAATAAAATCATAACGTAACAAAAAAAATTACTTTACAATGCTTCTACAGGTAACTGTATTGGTCCACCATTGAGCATAGCAACCCCAAAAAACACCTTGTGATTCTGTAGCATTAGTGGTGTTACACTAATAGTATGCTTTGTTACACCACTCTTTGCGGAAAACCCCTCTAAAAAGGGGGTCTACCACTGCATAGCGGCTGAATAATTTACCCCTTAGCCATCAGCAATAGTGTGATACCTCTAACAGCTAACAGAACTGTAGTGTTAGCGGTATTTTGCTGACCCTAAAGTCAACATAGCTTGCCCACCCCATTACAGCAAACAATTGATGAGTTTTATTGAGGCCTAATTTTTCTATTGCAACCTGACCGCAATGGTGGCTAGTTACTTTGCTTGACAAAATATTACTAGAGACGTCACTTCATACCCGGATACCCAAAGCGGGTGCAGGTACTTGCCTCAAAAATCCAATATTGTGGACATCCACACCCACCCGGGCCGGTACCCCGGCACCCATGGGCCACAGGTGGTGAGGGTTTTTTGCTGGCAAATAAGTTGGTGTGCACACCATTGTTTTTTGTGCAGGCATGTACCACCACGGAAGGACACAAGCCAGTGTCCTGCACAGAGGGGGAGGGTAAACCCATCTTGTTGGGAGAAATCCCTTGTGATAAGATGGTGTACATCTCATCTTGTTGGGAGGAATACCTCCTGGTGAGATGGGGTACATCCTGGCTTTTCAAGCGGAATCTCTTCTGACAAGATGGTGTACATCCCATATTGTTGGGAGGAATCCCTCCCGGAGAGAGGGTGTACATCCCATCTTGTCACCATCTCTCCAGGAGGTATCCCTCTTGTCAAGCTTGCCGGTAGGAATCCCTTCCAAAGAGATGGTCTGTACACCAGCTTTCTGGTAGGAATCCCTCCCAAAGAGATGGTCTTCAACCAAGGCTCCAAGCTCATTGGGAGGGATTCCTACTGACGAGATGGTCTATAACCTCACTTTTCAGAAGAGATTCCTCCCAGTGAGCTGGTCTCAACAACTGGAGGGTTTTCCTTGATGGCCAGAGAGTTTCCCTTTCTCTGGCCATCAGAACTATGTACAGCATTAATGGGCTGGGGGGGATTCCTCCAACCATCAAGGCTGGAACAAGTCTCAAATGCCAGAGGAAAACCCTCTGGCTCTCAAGGGGTGCTTCCCGGTCATCAT